GTTCATGTGAGTTTCACGTATAAGCTCGTTTGAGGTTAAATTCCTGTGAATTTCACGTGAGATGCACGTGATTTCCCTGTGTACTTGAGACAACTCCAGGAAATACAGATTCATTGGCTAGCCGAACGAACTGCTAATCAGGGCTTTAAACCTTATTCGACGACATCCAACTCCTTCACAACACACGTATGCTGTGCTATGTTTTGTTATTTTTGTTATTTTTCAAATATCACCCATGTGTCAGGATTATTCTTTGTCATATGTTGTTTATTAATGTAATGATTATTTTGGATTGGAGAAGAAAGTCAAAAATGTGTGTTTTATTATTTATCAGTTTTGACGTGTTTTGACAATGAAATATGTTTAAAGTATTTGTATTCAATATTTTTTTATTTTAATTATTTTTAGACAATTTCCTCATCTGGTTTTACATATACATTCCTTTTAACTGTGTAATCATAATATCATAAGTAAGTCCATGCTCAATATGACCAAATTTCTGTAAGTATTGGGCGAAAATTGGGTTTGAACTTAGCCATATCGAGATACATGAACTTTTTTTATTTTTTTTTGGTGAAAGTCCCGCTTTGTACCGACATCATACACAGAGCATGTTAAGTCCTGATTTGTGCCCATATCATACACAGAGCATGTGCAAGTCCCACTTTGCTCTGATAGCAGCGATATAGCTGAAATACTGCCGACAGTGGCGTTAAACCCCATTCAATCAATCATCTTTCGTGCACCTGAATTGACCTCTTGCTTTTATGTTTTTCTGACTTTCACGTTCTAAATCGTGAATTCTTCAATATACACATATAACCTATGACCTAACTGTAAAGTGTTAATATATTCGGATTAACTGTTGTTTGGGGACATCCAGAGTGTACTATCTGTTATGTGGTAGTTTCTGCTGCATTGACAATCAAATTGGAAGCTCTAGATGTATTTTATGTAAAACATCGGGTGGTTAAGTAATGTCTTAGTGCCCTTGCCCTTTATCCGTTCATTTTCATCATCAGGAAATGTCCTTCAAATATCTACCCTAAGGCTTACGCAAATAAATATGAATTTTCACTTAATATGACATGTGTAATTTGTTGTCAACATGATTTCTAATTAGAATAGAAACACTTCCTCGAAACTCAATAAAACAAATTAAGTAAAAACGAATTAAAGAAAAGAAATATTTATTAAAGAAAAGTATATTCGATACAATCCTTACACGACAAATTCTCAATTTCAACATAGATAATACAGTCACACATAATATTCCTCAAAAATACAGGCAAGTCTTATTTAAACAAATTCTCAATTTCAAAATACATAAATAATGGCGATGCATAATATCCCTCAAAATGCAGGCAAGTCATATTCGACATACATAAATAGTAGTAATACATAAAGTCCCTCAAAAATACAAAATCAAATTTAACAATGCATTTAATAGTAACAAACTGTTACTCCAAAACACTTCAAATTGTCACTGAAAAGCACTGGAAAGTTTATTGACCTCACAATACGACTCAAAAATAGATCTACAAATATTAGATTCAGAAGCCCCCGTATTCGCCATGATGGAACTGACTGACCCTCGTCCTACCATACTGGAATTCTATTGTATCTTTGGTAAGAAGATGAGGAAGACCAACCTATATGCTGCATGACGTCATTTGCAGGCCCCCCTGACAATGCCAAAGTAATAGCACACGCTCCCCGAATTCCATGAGGGGTCTCGCCGTCGTAAATATCGAGTTTCTTTAAATATTTCTTCAAGCGATCATACATAGCATTGGAAGATACAGGATTGTCAGTAACCTCTTTTCTATTTTTACTCAAAGTACGGAATAAATAACCAAACCTTAAATCAACCCCAAGCGCCCTGGCACTTTTAACATACCTTTCCAGGGCTTCAACAGGACAAATCAAAGTATCATCAAATCTCAAGATGGAAAATTCATTCACCTTCCCCTTTCCAAGAGTTTTGCCTACAGTGTGTGAAAAAAGAAAACCATCACCTTTTGGTAATAACTTAACCTCTTGTGAAATACACAAACCCAAGTCATTCGCTCTATCTCCTGAAAAACATTGAACTTTGAAGAAAGCCTGATCCCTTAAAAATATGAATCTTTCGGATGGTTTCAAATCGGGATTCATGAACAAATCATCGATATGAACACTAATTGATCGGAGTTTGTCTAAAAACAGAGGCTTTGCTTGTTTTTGTACAACATGTGATTTTGACTGCTCAAACTGAATAGCATGCAAATATTTTTCTACTTCTGGACTACACACAGGATTACCAGTGTCAGTTATTGCATTCCACGCAGAACCCCGACCATTAGATTCAAATATAGCCTTTAATTGTCCTAGCATAGACTGAACAGTTCCCGCCGCCAACCTCAACGGACACTGACATGAATAAATACCTAACTTACCAAGAAATTCACAAGACAAGTCATGTACTTGAGTTTTTCCCTTTGAATCCTTCATGACCATAAATCGCCTAACATCTAAAGGGGAAGCAGACTTTATACATTTAACGGGTACACTTTCAAGTCTTGAGAGAAAACATTTACACCATCTGAAAGAACTGTGGGGAATGGTGTAAAATGTTTTAACGGATTACCAATTTTATCAATCATAACATTGGAATCTAAAGCCATCAAATCTGTAGTGTGGAGACCAAACCTCTGTTCAACAAAGTTCCATTTCAGAGGAGACAACATAGCATCTGACAATCTTAACCTTCTGGACTCCCTGTCAGCAGGGTTTCTACTAGAATTAACATACACAAGACGTAGGTCCATATTAACCGTTTTTGAAAGAGTGAATATTTTCCGCAAAACTGCATTCAAAGAGGGGTCCCTACCACCTTGATTACTCCAAGCATTAACTACAGCAAGATTATCACAAAACGCGTCTACCCGAGCATTAACAATTTTCTCCTTAACAGAACAGAGAGAGTGGAGTAGGGCATTTGCCTCTTTAACATGGATAGGAGCGTTATCGTAGTCTTTCCAAAAATCACCAAATTCTACTGAAACCCCTTTGAAAATCATAAAGGCACCCCACTTAAAAAGCGACGAGTCAGTTGCTAAAATCAATTGTAAATGGGTTTCTAATCTCCAGGAGGCAGCTCCCTCCCAGTTATCCAGAAAACGCCAATACTCTAACTCGTCCTTTAACTCTTTGTAAATGCAAATTTTTTTGCTATTTCTAAAAGCAAGGCTAATGGCCCTATTGATTTCCCTTGAAAACAATCTAGCAGAGGGGATAGCAAGAAAAAATGAAACACATTTTCCTGCAAAACGTTACAGGGTTTTAATGCCCACTTCATTGCCATCAAGGATAGATTCCCTTAAAACTCTAAACGATTCTTTTTTCGGCCCCGGCAAGATAAAGGCCAGTTCAGTTGAGTCACAAAACATTCCCAAGAATTTCAAACACCTGGTTGGTATAAAACAACACTTAGCCAAATTCATGAAATATCCCAATCTAACAAGAACCTGACATAGAATGTACAGACTTTTTTCTGCCATTTCTGCACGTCCCGATCCTATCTTCAAATTAGTACCTTTAAACTCACAAACTAACCTATCGTCTATATACAATAAAGAAGGTACACCAAGGGAGCGACAATAGCTGATTGGAACCAGACCGGTAGTGTGATAAATATAAGCACTGGCTTTGAAGCCGAATGGGAGGGAGTTGAAAACCAAGTACCAGCCTGCAAACTGGATTCCGAAATACTGTCTAGAATTAGGATTTAAAAGTATATGATCATAACCAGACTTATCATCAAGAGATGCCATGAACGAATCCTTCTCTAATAATCTAGGAACCTCTTTGAGAGTATCTAAAGAGAAAGGGAGATCCTTAATCCACAAGTTCAGGTATATTTCATCATGGCACATACGGGGTTTTGAAGGTTCAATGGTGATAGGTAAAACAAGTAAAGGGGGATCACATTCTCCAACTCTACCAAGTACAGTTAAAGATCCATTGGCTATTCTTTCTAATAAAGTGTCAGAGACAAATTTCTCAAATCCTTTACAACTAGCAGAGTTTTGAAAATATACAGGTTGAGGAAGGTTTGAATCATAACTATGCCCCTTAAAATTTCCCTTAAAATGTTTAAACATGGGCTGAATATCTACCCCGTTTTTAATCCAGTCCAAAATTTCATCAGGACAACCTATTTGCTCCCATTGTTCTGAACAATACATCAAATTTCCTGCTTTGAAAAAATTAGGATCTAAAAAGGACAGATCCTCAAAATTAAAGTCACTACCATTTACAACCTCTTCAGCCTTAGGCAAACAAACAGAGGGTTGGGTGATCTCTCCTTTATAATTTACTGAAAGTATGTCACCTTGCTTTCTTAATTTAACTCGTGATGGATCGAAACCCGATTTTAACTCCCAATCTGGAATTTCTGGCTCAAACTTTTCTTTCTTAACCAAAGGTTCATGATCCCTGATATTCTGAAATTAACAAAAAATATCCTTTCACATCTAGAAAATGCTCAGTATTTACAAATTATTTTAAAGGAGAGACACTCAACCCTTACCCGCGTGAAAAATTTCACTGGAGATCGAAGCTCCTGGGAAGGGAAAGGTATCAAAAAATAAAATAAAATAAAATAACAAAACAAAATACACAAAATACAAAAATACACAAAATACAAAAATACACAAAATTAATTATCTTTCTTCATTTTTGGACAATTGGCAATAAAATGTCCTGACTCCTTGCAAAAGTAGCAAACACCGTTAGAACCTCCCCTACCTCTACTTCCTTGCATTCTGGGAGGCCGAAAACCACCAGTATTAAAGTTTGGCCCCGGATAAAAATTTGGATATGGAAAACCAAAACCTGGATTTTGAAACCCATATCCAGGAAATGGAAATCCAGAAGCTGAAGCAGGTGGTGCATCTAACTTTTCCTGCCTCTCCTTTGACCCTGATGGTTCCTCGTATTTCTTGGATTTTGCCCAGTCTGAAATTAAGGAGGAAATCTTCTTGTCCTCCTGGGAACCAAACAATTTTAACACAAGCCCACAAAAATCAACATGATCTTCAAATTTTTTACACATGGCAAAGGATTTTGAAAATAATGAACAGTCTTTATGATTCGCTTTGTTAGCTGCATCAACCAACATTTCGATGGCCGCAAGCAATACTCCCGGTGTTGTAAGTTTTGGTCTTGCTGCCAATGTCCTAACATAAGATAGTGCTTCATCTACCTGTATATCTTTTGATTTGTTCTTTTATTCATCTAAATCCTGCCTCATGGCTTGCAGCTGCTGATTAGTACATGGTTCACCAGGGACAGCTTTAGTACCACTTCCTACAACAGCCAAACAAGAGGGAAATTAATATAACATCCTAACAATAGCTTACTCAAAATGTCAAATTAACAAATACAAGTAATATGACTACAAGACAATGCCTTGACCTCAATTACATGCCTAAGCTGTAAACGGTAAGTGCGTAAAACCAAATAAAAATTATATACCCTTTTTGTTGTTTCAATGCTAAACATATGGAAATTTAGAGAAAATCCACAGCCTTTCCCCTTGTACTCTTTATGTTTGACAATTCTGTATAAATAGATTCATGCAAGTAGTGCTAACACTGATTTCCCTAAATGAGGTTTAAAATAACAAAAATAGTTAAAATAAATACAAATGTAGACCTATTCAAGTACACCTTCTAATGTGTGCTGATTATAAAGATTATAAAGGACTTTGTAAACAATAAACAGTCTATCACATCATGGACAGAGAAGTGAGTAATCTATGTTTAAAATGCTATAACGAAAATCTCTGTAAAGTCTGTATTCTGTAAAAATATAGGCTTGTTAGCCACAAAATCCACATTTTCTATTAAATGCAATGATGTCTCTGACAGAAATAATTATTATTGCTGTGAAGGACATTTCCCTTTAGAAATACACAGCGGGTCTACATAAGGGTTCATAAACCTTAAGTTTCAAATTAAAGTGAGACTACCTTCACAAAAACACTTAATAAAAAGGCTAACACGAATAAGGTAAAAAAGAAACATTCTATACCTTTAGCCGCTGGCGTTTCTGTTGGTGAAGTGTTTTGACTGCTCAACCTCTGACCTCTAGCCCCCAAAGAATTGGCCAAAATGATGCTCTCATGCACAAGTAATCTCACATTCTCAATAGAATCATTCTTTCCACACAGAGTTGATACATCCTTAACTGATTCACCTGGATATAAATAAAATCATTGATCAATTAAACGCAACTGATAGAGTACTATGTGTAAAATCACGAACCGTGAAAACGAAAAAACTCATTGGCAACTCGTTTATATAATAACATCCAACAACAAGAATCAACTTAACATTTCAAAATTAAACTGTCACATATCTAAAACTGAAACATTATCAGCCAATGCGATAGCCAAATATCAAATTTTAAAGCTATATAAACTTTAAACTGTAGGTTTGAAAAAGTCTTAGAAAAACGTAATAAATTATGAGGCTGCATGGTAAAGGGTTATATACGTGCAAAATGTTCGGCCTTTTTAATTTTCCATGCTTTCGTGTTCTTCGTATTCTCGTGTTTGCATGTATACACGTGCTTCGTGCTTACTTTAATTTATTTCCCGTGCTTCATGCCCAGACATCTAATTTCTCGTGCATGACCTGTATTTCGTGTAAAAAACTAAACCGATGTAATAACATCGATTAAAATTCATTTGTATGCATTTACATAACAGACGCAATTAACAGTTTCTAAATGGACCTTGTGATAACTTCACGGATGGCTGACTATTAAATTTTATTACTTTTCTTGTCCTTATTTCTCGTGCTTCGCGCTTCAACGTTTTGAGGTTTTTATTTTATGTGTTTCCGTTCTCAGACCCCCCTTTACCACCCTCAATTATTACTTACCCGTCAATTTCTCAAATTCCGCTATCAACGCAGCTTTAGAAAAACTCTTCAGGGGTTCGTCCTTCTTAAACCGGGACAACTCTACGACATCTACGTCAGCGTCTGCGGCTTTAACTCTCAATATTATAGGAATAAGACTTTTACCCACAAGGGAACAGTTAGGTTTTAACACCTGAGCCATATCTGAAAAAAAAAACAACATTAAAATAGCATTTAAAAATCGTGCAGTGCGGGCAGTCCTCGCCTAAAAGTAAGGATAAAAATTACCTAGACTTATGAACATTTTGATGGATATATTTCATAAAAATAAATGCATTCAAAGTCTTAAAATTGCTAACTGGACTAAGCAAAGCATTTTCCTTATTATTTTCATTACTTTGACAAAGACACAAAATACGGAAACTACTTATCCGAGATATATTAACCAAAGACCCGTAATTAACTAAATTTTAAACCAAACGCAAAGAGAATAAAATTAAAAGTAAACAGTTACATTAACTATAAGTTCAGATAAGTCAGAAAAGTGGCAAGTCGAAAATAGTTACATCAATACAAAATCAGCCTGCAATTGGCAGAATCTTGGCAGCCTCTTAATAAAACGCCGCAACCTTCTGAATAAAACGCCACAACCTTCTTAATAAAACGCCGCAACCTATGCAAACGCCACTTTAAACATGTACATGTATTTAGCTAAAACAAACTTCCCGACTTACAGGACATTTCCTCAACACGCGTCGCAACCAATGCAGACGCAAACTCCATTAAAGTACATTAATTACAAAACAGCTTCCAAATCTCCAAGCTGTTGTTAACAAAATATATTAAAAACATTCATTACATTTAACAAAGATTAAAAAACTTACTTCCACAGTAAGAAAATTCTCTACTTAAGAGAAGTCCAACCACGCTCTACTCAAGAGCAGTAAAAGTCCGTGCTTCACGCTTGATAGCAGCGGCCAAACTGATTGTATTTGGTCAAATCTCGCGAGACTCACTTACGATAGCGGTATAAACAATTTAGAATATAAACGGAATTCACTAAATAGATTTGCATAGGCAAGAAGTAATTGTTTTTGTTGATAGTGCTCTGCCACGCTCTCAGCTATGTTTTATTTATATAAGAATGCTCTTTCACGCTGTCAGGTATGTGTCATTTATATAACAGTGCTCTATCACGCTGTCAGCTATGTGTTATTTATATAAGAGCGATCTATTAGGCTCTCAGCTATGTGTTATGTATATAAGAGTACTCTATCACGCTGTCAGATATGTGTTATTTATATAAGATGGCTCTATCTAGCTTTTAGCTATGTGATACTTATATGAGAGTACTCTACCACGCTGTCAGCTATCATGTGTTACTCATATAAGAATACGCTTTCAGCTAACTGTTATTTATATGAGAGTTCTCTATAACGCTCTCAGCTAAGTGTTATTTATATAAGAGGGCTATATCACGCTCTCAGCTAGGTGTTATTTAAATAAGAGAGCTCTATCACGCTCTCAGCTAGGTGTTATTTAAATAAGAGAGCTCTATCACGCTCTCAGCTATGTGTTATTTATTTAAGAGTTCTTTATCACGCTCTCAGCTAAATGTTATTTATATAAGAGGGCTTTATCACGCTCTCAGCTATGTGTTATTTATTTACGAGTTCTTTATCACTCTCTCAGCTAAGTGTTATTTATATAAGAGGGCTCTATCACGCTCTCACTCCAATTTACTTTTGCTGCAGTATCGTACAGAGCAGATATTCCTAGGTAATATGTATCCGTTTGGTCATTCTCTGTGAACATGCTTCTGTTCCTTGTAGCGAGATTACAGATGGTGACAGCTGGAAAACCGAGCTCATCATTATTCTTCACAGACACAGTTGTTGTTGTTGTTGGGTATTTGTAGTATGATATTAATTCAGTTGTAACAGTAAATATCAGGTAACCAGCTGAAAACAACCATATACACACCCAGAATAAACTGAAAAGAAATATTATAGGATTAAACGCCTTTTTATAGGAATTTATTGGTGTATAAACTCGACCAATTCACTCACAAACATGTCTGTGAGTGACTTGGTACAGTTTATACACCAATAAATTCCTTTAAAAAGGCGTTTAATCCTTATAATTCTTTAAAATTGAAGATAAGGAATTTATTTTTCCACACTCGTAACCTCTATCACACGTAAATTGTATATTCGTGTCATTGAATAGGCCTGGCGCATGAATATATTTGTTGGTTAACGCAAAAATATATATGTACTCCATGAAATTTGCAATCTAATAAAAAATAAACTACAAAAACTCTTATCATCATTCAAATGAATGTTTTGTGTTTATTATTTAATTTAACTATTAAGACCTAATAACGCGAATTGAAAATAAATTTTGTTAACGTCGATCCGGATTGTGTCATTATCGCCGTCATCTTGTTTACATTGGTTACGAAAAGAAGTTCGGTCAACGTCGTCTATCGAAAAATAAACAACGTCAAGAACAACTACCGGAATTCTCAACCAATCATATCAACGTATTCTCTAATATGCAAATCATATAAGAATTATTTATATAAGGATGCTCTATCACGCTCTTAGCTATGTGTTATTTATCAGTTACATCAAAACCATTGCACCTAAAGTATTTAACTATAAACAAGCATTACAGGACCCTGATTTAGAAGAATACCCCCAAAAAAACTCTGACAAGTGACTGTTCCCACTCGCTTTATATTTACAGCCCCTCTGGCCATGTTATTACTGGGGATCTAAACATAATTCAGCATGAACATCTCCGAAAGGTAATATCTCACGGTGCTAAGTTCAGAGAACCCAAACACATCATTTGGAACCATAACTTCAAAATAATTATGAATTCCATTGAGGACTACGCCAGAGCATGGGCTAAACGAGAAGTTGAACTGGACACTTTATCAGAATGGGTCAAAACAATCAGGTATCTGCTAAAACGTCAAATTTATAAGTTGAAAAACTGTGTGAATGATCGACCAAAGTCCATGTTCAGAGACAAAGAAGCTGTGAAATGTCTATCTTCTCTTCACGATAAATATGTTGTTGTTCCTGCGGACAAAGCTTCAAATAATATTGTTTTTGTATGTAAATCGTACTACTACGAGTGTCTTGTAAGAGAATAAGGAATAAATGAGCACTCAGGTAATCCCACATACAAAAACATATCATTTGACAAGGATGAAATTCTGGCGAATCATAAGTCCTTCATGGCTTCAATGAACATAACATTGAAAGCAAATCTGAGGACTTACCTTGTTTGTATTGGATAACTAAACTTCTCAAAATTCCGTACAAACAAAGGTACAATGCCGGCTCATCTACATGTTCTACAAAGGAATTTGTCCATTAGATTGACAAAATTCTGTCCGCAGTGAAAGAGGGTCTTCAGAAATACTGTGAAACTGTTTACTCGTGTAGTGGTATTAACCATATGTGGATTCTAAAAAACTCTAAAAAACTTCTGGATAATTTCAAATCTCGATCTTTCTCTGAAATTAATTCTATCAATTTTTTGATTTCTCAACCCTGTATACCACCATTCCCCATGTGAAATTGAAAAATAGATTTATTACTTTGGGATACCATACGGCATATTTTGTTAATAGTGAACAAAAAGGTAAAACATTCTACACAGAGGAACAAGTGATCAGTATGCTGGAGTTTCTTATTGACAACATATTTGTTAAATTTGGAGGTAGACTTTTTCAACAAATTGCCTCTCCTTGCCGACCTCTTCTTATTTTCATATGAGTCGGAGTTCCTTCAGACACTTGTCAAAAACAAGAAGATCAAAGAAGCCAGATAATTTAATTTCACATTCAGATATATTGATGATGTTCTTTCCATTAACAATCCAAACTTTTCTGATTGGGTTCCATAACTATATCCTCCAGAACTAGAAATTAAAAAGAAAAAAAAAAAAAAAAAAACAACAGACACGGCTTCCTCCGCCTCATTTTTAGACTTATACCTCGGATTTGACATAAGCGATTTTAATTTTGAAATTATCAATTTCCCCCACCTTAATAGCAATATACCAACTTCACCTGCATAAAGGATGTACATTTCTCAATTCATTCGGTATTCAAGAGCTTGCAGCTGCTACCCAGACTTTATAAAACGTCACCAGTGTCTGAGCAGAAAGTTGATGAACCAGGGTTATGTCAAAGAACGTCTCGTCCTTTTTCTAAAAAAGTTCATCGGAAGATACCAAGACCTTGTTAATAAATATCCTGTATCAACTTCACAAATAATACATGATGGTCTTGAAGTTTAGATTCTATGTACTGACGTTGTTTATCATCCCAATTACGTGTTATAGTGTTCTTTTATATGTCTTTGTAAATTATTAACCTTTACTGTTTAGTCCGTTTTTGGTAATATCGTTTTGGCGTGGCTGGGTACTTATGCATCCCGCCAATGTGTTGTTGTGCTGTGGCCATTTTGTGTATTCTTGTCTTTCATTTTTCTTAATGTGCTTTGTCTATATGGCATTTTGTTTGTCTTTGTTGACATATTTGTTTGTTTTATAGTGATTAAGATTATAACATAATACATACCCCTGTTTTTGACATTTTTACCTATTATGTCTGTTTGTCTTGTTCACACATTGTTGTCAATATAATGGAAATTTATGCGACTGTCATACAAGTGAGAGGTTTAGCTAGCTATAAAACCAGGTTTAATCCACCATTTTCTACATAAGGAAATGCTTGTACCAAGTCAGGAATATGACAGTTGTTTTCCATTCGTTTGATGTGTTTGAGCCCTTGATTTTGCCATTTGATAAGGGACTTTCTGGTTTGAATTTTCCTTGGAGTTCGGTATTTTTGTTATTTTACTTTTTTATATAAGAGGGCTCTTTCACGCTCGCAGCTAAGTGTTATTTATTTACGAGTGCTCTATCAGGCTGTCAGGTATGTGTTATTTATATAAGAGTACTCTATCCCGTTCTCAGCTATGTGTTATTTATATAAGGGTGCCCTATCACGCCCTCAGCTACTAGTATATGTGATTTACATAAGAGTGCTCAATCACGCTGTTAGCTATGTGTTATTCATATAAGGGTGTTCTATCACGGTCTCAGCTACAAAAATGTATGTGTCATTTATATAAGAGTGCTCTATCGCGCTTTCAGGTATGTGTTATTCATATAAGAGTACTCAACCCTCCCTTTTACCTTTAACCGTAGAATAACAATTCTTATTGTAGTTAAAATAGTGTTTTTTTTAAAGTATATTGAGTTTGGATGGGAAAATGGAAGGTACGATCATTTAATGCGGCAATCAAGAATTCCAAACTAAAAAAGTACCAGATTATAAAGTTTACACTGTAAACAAACAACGTAGAAGAGATAGTGAGTTTATCGGAAATTTAGGACGGATTGTTAATCACCTTTGCCATATGAAATTTATAATTGTTGATTTTAACTGCAATATAAAAAAGAAGATGTGGTATGATCGCCAATAAGACAACTCTCCACAAGAGACCACATGACACAGAAATTAACAGCTATAGGTCACCGTACGGCCTTCAACAATAAGAGTGCCTTCAACAATGCACAGATGTAGCTAGGACGATATCTAGCAAAGAATGCCGCTCAAAACAGAGATTAAGACATCCATGAGCTTACAGTAGGGTGAAACTTTTGCTTCATATTAAAGGTTCACTGTGGGTTTGAGACGAAGAACAGCAATACACGCGTTGACCGATGGTTTTTTCATGTGCGATTAGTGATTTGTTTACATGAACTGATTTTTAACATTTTATGTCGTCAAATCTTATTAAAAATTGGGGGCGAGTTGTTTTTCATTAGTGTTTTCCTGGTCTTTACAAGTGACATGTAAAGCATGTACAAAATGATGGAATATATCCGTGGTCATCTGTAACACAGAGCAGTCGATTTCACTATGTATATTACGTTCCACGGTGACATTGGCAAGGATACTTTTTTTATTTATTTTATTAAAAATCATTAAATTACGGTATTTTATAGTCATTTATGTATTTGGTTTCTATCATGTTTCCGTTGTCATGGAATGACTAGAACAAACTCCTTCAGAAGAGATAAAGGAAAAGAAACAGTTCCAATTAGTATTTTCGTCCATTCAAATTAAAGGACAAGGTAAATTACAACAAAATTAAGCCAAAGGAGAGTTTTATGTTTATATTACCTTTCTTTGAATTTCTTTATTCATTTCAGGACTTAACTTTCTACTAAATACAAGTTGACGTATTTTGATGACGTAGGAAAAAGGTTTTATCACTGAATAACTGAAATGGCATCTAGATCGTTTTACTTGGCAGACTATATTATATTTGCCATTACCATCGTGCTCTCAGTCGGAATTGGCCTCTATCATGCATTTGTCGGTGGGAAACAAAAAACAACATCCGAGTTTCACCTTGGAAACCGTAGGATGGCAATCATACCGGTTGCAATTTCATTGTTAGTGTCGTTTGAATCATCAATCATGATGCTTGGAACGCCTGCAGAAACATACGTATTTGGGATTCAGAATATTATGGGAAATTTTGGATGGTTTGCTGCTAATCTGCTCTCAATTAAAATAATGGTACCGTTGATACACCCCCTGAAGATAACTAGTGCCTATGAGGTAAGGTATATTAACATTTATACACCCCCTGAAGATAACTAGTGCCTATGAGGTAAGGTATATTACCATTGATACACTCCCTGAAGATAACTAGTGCCTATGTGGTAAGGTCTATTACAATTGATACACCCCCTGAAGATAACTAGTGCCTATGAGGTAAGGTATATTACCGTTGATACACTCCCTAAAGATAACTAGTGCCGATGAGGTAAGGTATATAACCATTGATACACCCCCTGAAGATTACTAGTGCCTATGAGGTAAGGTATTTTACCATTGATACACCCCCTAAAATAACTAGTGCCTATGAGGTAAGGTATATAACCATTGATACACCCACTGATAACTAGTGCCTATGAGGTAAGGTATATAACCGCTGATACACTCCCTGAAGATAACTAGTGCCGATGAGGTAAGGTCTATTCCCGTTGATACACCCCCTGAAGATAACTAGTGCCTATGAGGTAAGGTATATAACCATTGAAACACTCCCTGAAGATAACTAGTGCCGATGAGGTAAGGTATATTACCGTTGATAAACCCCCTGAAGATAACTAGTGCCTATGAGGTAAGGTTTATTACCGTTGATACACCCTCTGAAGATAACTAGTGCATAGGAGGTAAGGTATATAACCATTGATACACTCCCTGAAGATAACTAGTGCCGATGAGGTAAGGTATATTACCACTGATACACCCCCTGAAGAATACTAGTGCCTATGAGGTAAGGTATATTACCATTGATGCACCCCCTGAATATAACAAGTGCCTATGAGGTAAGGTATATTACCATTGATACACCCCCTGGAGATAACTAGTGCCGATAAGGTAAGGTATAGTACCATTGATACACTCCTGAAGATAATTACTGCCTATAAGGTAAGATATATAACCATTGATACACCCCTGAAGATAACTAGTGCCTATGAGGTAAGGTATACTACCATTGATACACCCCCTGAAGATAACTAGTGCCTATGAGGTAAGGTATATAACCATTGATACACCCACTGATAACTAGTGCCTATGAGGTAAGGTATATAACCGCTGATACACTCCCTGAAGATAACTATTGCCGATGAGGTAAGGTATATAACCATTGATACACTCCCTGAAGATAACTAGTGCCGATGAGGTAAGGTATATTACCGTTGATAAACCCCATGAAGATAACTAGTGCCTATGAGGTAAGGTATATTACCGTTGATACACCCCCTGAAGATAACTAGTGCCTATGATGTAAGGTATATTACCATTGATGCACCCCCTGAAGATTACTAGTGCCTATGAGGTAAGGTATATAACCATTGTTACACCCCCTGAAGATAACTAGTGCCGATAAGGTAAGGTATAGTACCATTGATACACTCCTGAAGATAACTAGTGCCTATGAGGTAAGGTATATTACCGTTGATACACCCCCTGAAGATAACTAGTGCATATGAGGGAAGGTATATAACCATTGATACACTCCCTGAAGATAACTAGTGCCGATGAGGTAAGGTATATTACCGTTGATAAACCCCCTGAAGATAACTAGTGCCTATGAGGTAAGGTATATTACCATTGGTACACCCCTGAAGATAACTAGTGCCTATGAGGTAAGGTATATTACCATTGATACACCCCCTGAAGAATACTAGTGCCTATGAGGTAAGGTATATTACTGTTGATACACCCCTGAAGATAACTAGTGCCTATGACGTAAGGTATATTACCATTGATGCACCCCCTGAAGATAACTAGTGCCTATAAGGTAAGGTATATTACAATTGATACACCCCCTAAAGATAACTAGTGCCGATAAGGTAAGGTATAGTACCATTGATACACTCCTGAAGATAACTAGTGCCTATGAGGTAAGGTATATTACCATTGATACACCACTGAAGATAACTAGTGCCTATGAGGTAAGGTATACTGCCATTGATACACCCCTGAAGATAACTAGTGCCTATGAGGTAAGGTATATTACCATTGATACACCCCCTGAGGATTACTAGTGCCTATGAGGTAAGGTATATTACCGTTGATACACCCCCTAAAGATAACTAGTGCCTATGTGGTAAGGTATATAACCATTGATACACTCCCTGAAGATAACTAGTGCCGATGAGGTAAGGTATATTACCGTTGATAAACCCCCTGAAGATAACTAGTGCCTATGAGGTAAGGTATATTACCATTGATACACCCCTGAAGATAACTAGTGCCTATGAGGTAAGGTATATTACCATTTATACACCCCCTGAGGATTACTAGTGCCTATGAGGTAAGGTATATTACCGTTGATACACCCCCTGAAGATAACTAGTGCCTATGATGTAAGGTATATTACCATTGATGCACCCCCTGAAGATTACTAGTGCCTATGAGGTAAGGTATATTACCATTGGTACACCCCCTGAAGATAACTAGTGCCGATAAGGTAAGGTATAGTACCATTGATACACTCCTGAAGATAACTAGTGCCTATGAGGTAAGGTATATTACCATTGATACACTCCCTGAAGATAACTAGTGCCTATGAAGTAAGGTATTTTACCATTGATACACTTCCTGAAGATAACTAGTGCCTATGATGTAAGGTATATTACCATTGATACACCCCCTGAAGATTACTAGTGCCTATGAAGGAAGGTATATTACCATTGATACACTCCCTGAAGATAGCTAGTGCCTATGAAGTAAGGTATATTACCATTGATACACTCCTTGAAGATGACTTGTGCCTATGATGTAAGGTATATTACCATTGATACACCCCCTGAAGATAACTAGTGCCGATGAGGTAAGGTATATTACCGTTGATAAACCCCCTGAAGATAACTAGTGCCTATGATGTAAGGTATATTACCATTGATACACCCCCTGAAGATTACTAGTACCTATGAAGTAAGGTATATTACCATTGATACACCCCCTGAAGATTACTAGTGCCTATGAGGTAAGGTATATTGCCATTGATACACCCCCTGAAGATAACTAGTGCCTATGAGGTAAGGTATATTTTGATTAGTACTTTTCGTATAGATCTGTATCATTTCTTCTAATCACTTTGTTATATCATGCACAGGCTCTTGTCTCTGAAAGAAATTCCTATATACCTTAATATAACACAAGGTACATAACTCGCATTTCCGAAAAATATCACCTTGTCGCAAACTTCCGTTATATTTCGATTTCTCGGTTGTGAACCCCAATAAACTTGTTATGCCGTAAATCTTAATTGATTTATCTACGCAATGGTGTATAACACGCCTACCTTTGGTGTCGGAATCATTCGTAGCAGGCCTCATCATGTTTTTCAAAGACAAGTGCTTGTGATATCAAGTCTCTGACATATCACTAAGCCTACATTTACATATGAAATATCTCGACAAATATATAAGCAAGAAGTTAGTTTTTTAAAAATTTTTTAACAAGTAAGATCGAGTTGGGTTATGTTTACTAACGAGACAACTATCCAACAGAAACCAAAGGACATGTATGATAACACCTAGTCATCACAAGACCTTCAACCCTTAGTGAAATACATACCGTGTAGTAAGCTTTATATAATAGGCCCAATTAAATAATTTATAACTAGAAAACAGACGGCTCGATGTATGCTAAAACAATACATGAAACTAATATAACAGTCAGCAACCGCCGGCATCAACTTAATTACAGGCTCCCGACTTGGGACAGGTGCATTATGAATGTTACGGGATTAAACATGTTTGTGAGCACTCAACTATCCCCATACCTGGAGAATTGATATAAAAAGCTCAACATAAAAACAAACTGTAAAAATCAGTTAGAAAGGATTCACTTATTAGATCGGCACGAAGGTCAAAAATACCAAACATAAATTGAAGACAAAAGTACCGGTAAATGTACAGACAGATTAAAAGCTAGTTCAAAGCCCATTACAATATTTAAAACGGCATGTCTTCACTACAGTATCAATTTGTACATATCCAACGGATTTAGTATAAAAACTTTATTAACAGCGTAACATTGTACAATGTCAAAATATAAGTATTGACTGAAAATAGAACCATAAAGGAGAGAGTAAAGATACCAATGTGGGCAATCATGTAAAAAAATATCTTAATCCTTTGTTATATTTACTTCAAAATTTGTAGAACAGGAAATGCAAACTTGAAGAATTGTTTTTATTCTGTGTAATTTATCCAGAATTATACACATTTCACCTTTAAGTGTTTGGCCCTGTTCATTAACGACCTTGTCATTGCAACTCCTTCTTCATGTTAAATCGTATCTAAACAAAACTTGGTATATTGTTATATCCTAATATACAATTATGATTGTGGGTAGTGTATTCAAGTTGATTGAATTTACCAGAGACATGTGTCTTTGAGCTTCGAAAATATTGGCCCTGTGCAGTAACTACCTTGACAACACCCTTCTCCTTCAGGATTTATAATATCTACACGGAAGGTGGAATATTGTTACACTCTACAGTGCTGATGTGCTTATGGATACGATATTCTAGTCCATTAGAGTTTTTATTGAGTAATGCCCCATTGAACTTATAAATGCTTTGGCCTGTTCAGCTTCTACATTGCCATTAATTACAACTCACCAAAGGGGGTTCATTATATGTATATGAAACTTAGTATATTGTTAGATCCTGATACGCACATATACACGTATGTAGGATGTACATTCATCTGAGACAACATCTAATAAACACTAGGACAACTTCTTTAATTCGCTGTATTTCAATAACTAGCATACTCAAACGTCAATCTAGTATCTGATGTTATCCACATATTAGTCAGTAATGTCAATCTAGTATCCGATGTTATCCACATATAAGTTAGTAATGTCAACCTAGTATCTGATGTTATCCACATACAAGTTAGTAATGTCAATCTAGTATCCGATGTTATCCACATACAAGTTAGTAATGTCAATCTAGTATCCGATGTTATCCATACATAAGTTAGTAATGTCAATGAAGTATCCGATGTTATCCACATATAAGTTAGTAATGTCAATCTAGTATCTGATGTTATCCACATATAAGTTAGTAATACTAAATGATAAAACATAAGTGTTTGTTATTTCTTTATTGTATTATATATAATTATAAATGTATAATGTTAACCATAACTTTCATTCACTTATGTTTGCTTCCAGTACTTGGAATTACGATTTAATTCCCATGCTGTGCGAATACTTGGTACAATTCTTGGAATGCTGAATTATGTAAGTTATGCAGTTGACTGTTTGAAAAAATTAACGAAGACATTTTCATAGAACCGTCTTTTTGTAGACATTAAATTGGTACTAGAAGAGAAAAAAAAAAAAAAACATCAAATTACAAACACTTAGCTCAGAATTAAATGATGCTTTTTATTCAGCCTTCTAAATTTGAAATCATCATATGCTGCCATAACTTTAAGAATCTCGTGTAATTCATTTATATTTCTTGATCTTCTGTATTTCCATACAGTATGTGCAAATTTCAAATAGATCTCTAAAAAAGTGCTTTAATGCCCCTACTCATATGTAGATCAACCTTTAATACAAAAAAAAAAAAAAATAAAAAGTTTGAATACAGCGTCTTTGTTTGAATAATGATTACAATGTAACGAGAAAAAATTCTATTGTTTTGGATACGGTATTTGTAAAACTGACCTGAAATTTTTGACTAAAAAGTTTCCTAACCCTCTCCACCTAATTTCAAAAGTTAAATAAACATTTTTTGAGTGGTTCAAAAGACAAATAATTTCGACAAACTGTTAAATTCTTTTTATGATAAAAGTGTGCTTGGATCATTATATGTAAGGACGAAATGCTTTAGTCAGTTTTATAATTTCATTAAGCTCACTTTGTGTTTAAGATTTAAATTAATACTGAAATATATTTACTGCTAAGATGTTTTATATCTGGGATTGAAGTAGTTGAGTTGTGATAATAATGATTACTACTAGAACACACCCGGTGGTCCGTGACTGAATTAAAGTACCTACACCTTATTTTTAGCCTGGATTTTTAGCATTCGTATTGTCATTTGATAAAGTCATGCTGATTATAAGGTGCACAGTTTTCTCTGCTTTTAAAATCTTTCTGTTTGAACCCGTCCTGGTTGTGTTACTACAAGCAGAAACTACTTGTAGATATATTTTTTGGTCAATGATTGAATTTAACAGTGTCAATCAATGTGTAATGACGAAGTTCAGGTGTGATAATGACCCGTGTATATAGCAGATCCCAAATACACCGTTTGTTGGTGCCCCTGACACAGGCAGAACGTACAGGTTAGGTAACATGTGACATATACTATTATTACTATTGGTATCGTTATCGGATTAGATCCGGAACATTTTAATTATTGGTAATAATAATTATGTGGAAAACAAAAGGGCCTGAAATGGTTTAATTTTTAATTTACACCATTGTCCTATATTAGTTGTATATAAAGTTGAATTCTTAGATTCGTCGTTTTTACGTCATTCCGGCTAACAAATTTGACCTCGTTAGTTTAGTAGTATAAATGTTACCTACATGTAACCTTTTTATGTTTTTTCGAAATGTGAACAATGAAGCTAAAACAAAGAATTAATCAGACTCAAAGCTACAGAACAAATCACTAAATATGTTTGAAATTTAATTTGTAACTAGTAACTAAATAAAAATATGTTGAAATCTCAAAGTGAAAAATAAGTTTGATTTTAAAAGTATTAAACATTACAGCTACGTATGGGTTTGTCAAGAAGAAAACCCAATTAAAACAGGTTTTATTAGCTGTGTCATTATTTTAAAACGAGCTTTTTAAACAGACAATTTTGAAAACGCGATGTCAACGAATAGAATTTTGTTTTTTTATATATTTCGGTTTGCTCGTCTCACTAGATTTCTGTTTATGCATCCTATATGTGTCCTCTAAATGAACATTTCTTTACCTGCACCTTATTCAATACAGAAAATACTGAATGCTATTTTATTTGTTTGTAGGCTTTGTATATGGGTGTTGTACTGTTTGGACCAGCAATTGCATTAGAAGCGGGTTTGTTTACAATTAATTTTGATATTTTACCTGTGGCTAGAAATTATTCACGCCACAATGAACGGACTTGGAAATTTTATGACTACTCTTGTCATTTTTAGATATATTTGATTGTTTCCTTGCCATCCTTGTAATATAAAATAATGAGGTATGGTATATTTGCCAGGAAGAAAACTTTCCACCAGAGACCAAACCCAGAAGTTAGCAACTAAAATACAGGGATCCGACTTGTGGAGGATTGGACATGTTTGATGACGCCCGTGCCCATTTACCGTACATGACGATAGTTTATAGCAACACTTGTTCAATCATTCACAATATATGACGACCATTTTATAGCAACACATGTTTAATCATTCAAAATATATGACGACCATTTTATAGCAACACTTGTTTAATCATTAACAATATATGACGACCATTTTATAGCAACACATGTAAGATCCTTTACAATACATGTATATGGTGGCCTTGGGCTGTTTTCTGATCTTTTGTCGGGTTGTTGTCTCTTTGACACATTACCTTTTTCCATTCTCAATATTACACCATTGTATTTCTACACTGATTTTTGCATTTGCATTTATTAATTTAGGTCTTTTACTATACATGCACTTAAGTTGTTTTGCTTCATATCTTAGATACTTCCACATGCATGTAGATTGATTCTTTGTATAGTTATAAGAATTAAGGTCAAGGATATGAATGTGAAAGTAATGTTACCAATATTCAAAGTTATTTAACAAGAATGCCGATGAAATCAGCTGTGCTATCAATACAATATTCTTAAAATTGAGAATGGAAATGGGGAATATGTCAAAGAGACAACAACCCGATCAAAGAGCAGACAACAGCCGAAAACCACTAATGGGTCTTCAACGCAGCGAGAAAATCCCGCACCCGGAGGTGGTCCTCAGCTGGCCCCTAAATAAAATTGTGTACTAGTTCAGTGAAAATGGACGTCACACTAAACTCCAAAACATATAAATGAACTAAATTAAAAAAAACATACAAGACTAACAAAGGCCAGAGGCTCCTGACTTGGGACAGGCGCAAAACTGCGGCGGGGTTAAACATGTTTTGTGAGATCTCAACCCTCCCCATATACCTCTATAAAAGTTCTTGCCTGTTTCATCTTGGCTGTGGTTGAGAACGTGCTATATTACATGAATAATGAAAAAGTTTGTATAACTACTTCACAAGGCAAACATCACTAGCTGCATAATGCTCCAAAACGGAACCGCACTACATTTTAACTTTACTAATACTGTTTTATTTTTAGTAATGGGTTTCCCTCAGTTTGCTTCAATCATCATTGTTGCTATAGCTGCTGTTATATATACTTCTTTGGTAAGTATCAAATATTTATGGATGTATATATACTTCTATTTTAAGTATTAAACAATTATTGATGTGTTATTTTATAAGTTAGATAATATATACATTTGCGAAATGACGTAATGAGTTTTAGATGTCTCCTTAGAATCTTCAGCCATTGATTTATACTTCCAACGGATAAAAGTAAAAATTAGTAATGTTGTAGTAATTTGGTTTAATGTTATCATTAAGTACAATTGTTTTTGTATAAAGTATTTTGTAAACACATGTTGTGCTTCTTTCATACTTCGTCGGATAATCACCATCATTATCCCGACAAATGAAGCTGAAGTTGATAACAAGCGTCTGTTATGGACATGTTTTAAGCAGAGTAATGATGCAGCTTATTTGGTGTGTTACTTCTTGTAGTTGATTAATTTTTATTTGTATGTATCTTAACAATAGATTCTTAAAAAAAAAAAGGAAAACAAGCTAGTCTGCACTTGACTGTTGCAGAAAAAAATATTCTCACTGCATCAGATTCAGATTCGAAAACTTTTATTAGGCCTCGTTTCTTTTAGTCTAAATTTGCATATCTGTTAGAGCCATTGTGGTGCATCATCATAAAAAGCTCTACCTTTAGTTCAATAATACGTTTATTAATAAATAGTTGTGCTTCTCTGTAATGTTTCGATATTTTGTTGTAATTATTTTTAAATTTGTTTATTTAATTTGGTTATTATATATCCCTTTATGTTTGTAGTTTGGACCTTTTGTTGGTTTTAGTCATTCTTTTAACTATCACAGAAGTGAAACAAGTTTAACCTTTCCAAAAACGTATGGAGTGCCTCGCAGTAAAATAAATTAACGTCAGCCTTTGTTTTTATGGGTTAATTTATTTAGAGAACACGAAACTTTTTATCTATTTTTTTTCAGTTTCATTATAATCAGTTATATGATACAAAATGTTAGTTGATGGTCTTGAATAATTAAGGAAATGCCAAAGGGAAATGTAACATGAAATATTCAACCTGAAACAAATTGTTCATTATTCGAAGGAGGTTATATTCGGACTTTCTGGATTATCATCACACGAGATTCCGTTTAATCTGACTGAATATGTTAACTCTCTTCGATAAAGTAAATAATTTGTATCAGGTACAGGTAATTTGATAATCATGACTACATTATCACCTTACGTACTCAGCCAGAGTAACTCATAAATAGATGCTTTGTTTATACCATGTTATGATGGTTACACCTACACCCAAACGTTAAACTGTTTTTAGAGTGCCGTTTAAGTCCTATAATTTCTAGATTTGATAATGTAATAGTTTAACAAAATTAATGACAACTAAACATCTAATAATTACAAATCGGTAAGTATTAAGCAAGCGCATCAGTGAACAGAGCTATCACGTTCGTATATTATATGTAATGACTGATGATATGATATTAACACCATACAGATCACACCATACGTAGGAAATGAAGGAATAAAAATAATCGTGTTATACAGATTAAAGCAATGGAAATGCGTAATAATAACTGTACCAATTTTGACTATAAGCACTTATCCAACACAATGTGATTCTATTGCAAAATATTCACCAATCGCGTCTCGAATACTCATGATGTCAGACTATCTGTCTATAATAGCTTTTCTCCTGCCTGACGTGTTCTCAATTCTATAACTCATGCAAGTGAATATAATCTTAGCCACACCATTCAGCAACCATTCAGAACTAACTGTTGCTAAGTAATAATTTCATGTTGGGTGTAAATTGACTGAAACTAATTAATATCATTCTTATACACTACAAACCAGTAAAAGTCTGAAATGGCCTATATCTGTACTCGACTGTACTGATTTTTACTCGACCAGTCTGAATTGGTCTGAAACTTACTTGATAATACTCGACTGTAGTCTGAACCATACTTAACAGTCTGAACTTGTACTCGACCTTTACTCGACCAGTACTTAACCATTTTATACGCGTCTGAACCATGCTCGACCTAGTCTGAACCATACTCGACCTAGTCTGAACCATACTCGACCAAGTCTTAACCAACCTAGACTTATTTTTTGTATCTATCTATTGTATTTCATCAATTTAGGAACTGTTTTTAACAACAGCTATTTCCCCTGGCTAGAAATTTGAACAACAATTTGAAATTAAAAATGTATTCAATATACATGATATAGCATTGAAACCAAAATTTCACAATAAACATAATATAACTTCATCACCATATTCATCAACACTTATATACATACATATATAACACCTTTAAAATAAAAATAAAACAAGCTTATCAAATAATCTCAAAACTGAATTGTGACTAATATTTTCAATGTTATTTTAAAATTTTTTGAATGTTTCAGATATATTTTATGGTTACTGGACAATTTTCACCATTAACTTAAGCCTCGTATAGATTTATGGTGTCAGTTGAGTTTAGTTAATAATGCAGTGAACATTTTTTTATTAAAATATATATAAAATAGCATATAAAGCAACTTAATAAATTTAAAAAATGACACCTTTGTTTTATTAAACCAAGAATTTAATATAATCATGATAATAGAACTTCCATAGTAATCCGGTGATAAACTTTTAAAAAAGGAAATGTGTTCCAAAGTTACAGTAAAAATTTATTTCAATTAAATTTAAATAATTTTTGTCAAAATTAAAGACATGGTATACAAGAAGCACTTTAATAAGGTTTAATTACCTCAGTACATGTGTGTTTTACAGGTAAAAAGAAAGCCCTATACTCGTGTATTACTTATCTAGTGAATTCAAAAGGCCTTGCGATTTAAGTTTCACAGGATGTTGCAATTTTGAATGAATGTTATTTAGAATTTAATACTCTCTGACCAGGTGTGATCTTTTTCATGATTTTGCCCCAAGCAGGGGGTATTACTTTATACTTCACCACTAATCAGAAGAACAATTTTATTAATTTTTTTAATTTTTATCCCTTTTTGATATATATTGTATATAATATATCCCAAATTATAATAATAGATATATTTCTAAAATAAGGTTAAACAATTTCAGTGATTTTGTTGGCTGTTGTTACCTCATTAAAAAGATAATTATATAACTATTGTACATTTTTTGTATGTAACCATGAAACCTATGTAGTTTTTATTTAGGAATTTTGGAAAATTAATTTAAAAAAAAAACACATGCCAAACAAGAAGCACCTTAATAAGGTTTAATTACCCTCAGTATAGGTCTGGTTTTTAGGTAAAAGAAAATCTTTTTTTAACAAAACTCTAAAACTTTAAAATTAATATAATTAAATTATTATTTAAGATAATTTGATTTAACTATCTCTATTCGATAAATCTGAGAATCATGTAAGAATGTAAAAATCTGTTTTTATAATATATCTTTATTTTGTTGTGGCTGTTGTCATGTCAGTTAAAAAGAAATTTATTTTAACAGTTAAAATTTAGAAAAAGCAGAGGTTATATGGTCAAGTATGGTTCAGACTGGTCGAGTATTGTTCAGACCTTTGGTCGAGTATGGTTTAGACTGAAAAAAATAGGTCGAGTACAGGTCGAGAATGGGTTAAGACTGTTTCAGACTGGTCGAGTAATAGTTCAGACTATTTCAATGGCAAAGATAAGGGTCAAGTACAAATCAGTACAGTCGAGTATGGTTAAGACTGGGGTCGAGTAATGTCCAGTAAAATTCAGACCAATTCAGACTGGTCGAGTAAAAATCAGTACAGTCGAGTACAGATATAGGCCATTTCAGACTTTTACTGGTTTGTAGTGATAACAATGAAGGAAGGCAAATATATGCATGTGCTTCACAACTGCATGCACATTAAAATGACATTATTTGAATGAAGGACATTTGGTGAATGGGAATAAAAATAGCAACCGAAAAATACAATATAACATACCTTTGTTCTATAGGGGTTCATGTTTAATTTCTTCTAATCTATAATTCAACAGTAGCTATTAAAATTGATTATCTTCCCCCCCAAAAGAAAATAATCTATTATATTTTATAAGTTTAAACCAAAAAGATTGTTCGTTTTGGATCTTGATCAATTGAAAAGGAAACATATCTTTTATTTTATAAATAAATATGACCAATTATATGAGTGTCATAGGATATCCTGTTTCTGTCAGATAATTAAAAATGTTACTCCCAGCCAGCTTTATACTGATTCTAAAAACGTTTCCGTGTTAATTGAATTGGATAAAAAGTTCTTCGAATAACCAATGATATATCCTACTGGATTTGAATAAATTTAATACATCGTACAATCTAGCGACTGTACAGCACATACAAATAACATTATAAAAGTCTTAAGGTCTGTGCTACGATATTGATAAAAGATTTTAAAAAATATGAAAAGATGAAATGTATTTGCATTCTTTTTCAAAATGTGATAATAAAAAAAGTCAACACTTTCTAACGAAAGTAGAAAATTAAGATTAAACAAAAAAAGTAAAATAACAAAAATACTGAACTCCAAGGAAAATTCAAAACGGAAAGTCCCTTATCCAATGGCAAAATCAAATTAAAAGCACAAACACACCAAACAAATGGAAAAAAAAAGCTGTCATGTTCCTGACTTGGCATTTCCTTGTGAGGAAATGGTGGATTAAACCTGGTTTTGTAGCTAGCTAAACCTGTCACCTGTATGGCAGTCGCTTATAATTCCATTAAATTGACAACAATGTGTGAGCAAAACAAACAGACATAATAAGTAAAAATGTCACAAATTTGGGTCCAACACTCAACATTGTGTTATAATCTTAATCATTATAAAAACAAACAAATATGTAAACAAAGAAAAACAAAATGGCATTAAGACACTCTATAGACAAAGCACATAAGCAAAAATGAAAGACAGGAATACAAAAATTACCATAACACAATAACACAATGGAGGGATGTATAAATACAGGGCCACGCCAAAAGAATATTACCAAAAATGGACTAAACAGTTAAGGTAAAAAATATACAAAGCCAACAAAAGGAACACTATTACACGTAATTAAGACGATAAACAACGTCAGTATCTAAAATCTAAACTTCAAGACCATCGTGTAAAATTTGTGAAGTTGATACAGAATGTTTATCAACAAAGACTTGGTATCTTCCGATGAACGTTTTTTAGAAAAAAGACAAGACATAACCCTGGTTCATCGACTTTCTGTTCAGACGCTGGTGAAATTTTAAAAAGTTTGAGTAGGAAGCAGTGTCACTTACTTATGAGAGTTATAATTAAAACAAATTGGACAAATAATAATACAACCATTCAACATTATTCATATGAGGGGCAATTAAACAAGCATTTCAATAACAGGAAGGGAAATCCACAAGTTTGCAAAATATTTTCATTTGACAGCAATCAAACCAGCATTAAAATGAACAATCATAAACATAGACAGCTTTAAGGTAAAAACAAGCCTTACATTACATAAAAATACGACAGAACTTTATATAAATAACATTCATGAATAATCAGGAATGCTGATTAAACTTTATAAATGAAACAGAAGAAAAGTCTCAAAATGATCTGTTTGTGGGATATGTATGATGCAGTTTATACACTTAATTAAATAGTTGATATGTAGCTACTTGCATAAAATGGTAAATATTTGTTTTAGGGTGGAATAAAAGCTGTTATATGGACTGATGTCTTCCAAAGTTTCGTAATGCTTGCTGGTATTATGGCAATTTTGATTAAGGTAAATGTTTACTGTCGGTCTGTGTTAAGATTATTTTAAGTCATTTTATTCAATTATGAAAACAATTTTATTCCACGACTGACTTTTGAAATTGGTTTATGTATGGTCTTCACTTATTCACGATTGGGTTTTTCAGGGTACACTTGTCAGTGGAGGTGTAAAGTCAACTTGGACGATTGCCAATGAAAATGGACGACTTAACTTTTTCGTGTAAGTATATCGATAATGAATATCTTATAACACAACTAGTTCCATGTCGGTTAAAGGGCAACTGTGTTTTATATCTATGTAAATGTATGTTTATTAGCAACTAAATTTCCTATTGTTTCAAGACTTATAGTTTAATAAATAACAAAGAGTAACTGGGGTATATATTATCATGGTTTGCATCGTACATTTTCTGTTAATTCTAACATGAAAGGTAACATAATAAACACATGGAACTGATTATAATATTTCAATTTTACACAGGAAACCAAATACAAAACTTTACGACAAAATACACGATGTTTGTTCGTTTTCCTTTTTTGGACGGCAATATTCCTGTGATCCATTTTTATGAATTATAAATATGTTAGACTGTCAAATTATTAGGTCAAGTATATCGTTACCACAAATTACTAAAAATTTTCACTCAAGTCTTTAAACGCACATCATATTGTAAATTTTACGGTAAACCAGCAAATTAAGCTAATACAGGCATGAAAGATGTTTTTTTTAGAAAAACAAATTAATTTCTAAATGTTATCGATTTAACACTGTAGTAAGATAATATCTTAATATTATGTTTTATCATTCCTAACATGTTTTTTATTATTGCTGTACAATTGTGAATAACTATGGTCCTACATCCTGTCTTTTCTTATATTTTCTTTTTATATATTTTGCAATTCCTAGTATCCCTTTTATGTATAACAATCATACTTAAACACAAAAAGTCGAAAACAAAATTCTCCATAACAAATATCAAGGAACCAAAGAAAACTAAAAGAAAGACCATGGACCATGGACATGACAATGTTCCGTTACAAAGTCCAATACCACACGGTCACGCATACATGTATGCAAGCATTTGATTTTCTAATTGATTGTCTGACGTCCTTTTGATGTTTTTGGGCTTCCGCTCAGCAACACACAAATTATATTTGATATTTTATTTGTCATACTTTATATTTTCTTGAATGTAGATGGGACACAGACATCACAAGACGACACACGTTTTGGAATTTATTTTTTGGCAGTATGATTAGAGGAACTGGATTAATATTTAATCAATCATCTGTTCAAAGGATCTGTTCTACACCAACACTCAAAGATGCTAGAAAGTACGGTTGTGGCTTGATAATGTCATTTTAACTACACATTAAAATAAATAGTATAGAAAGTACGGTTGTATCTTGATACTGTCATATTAACTTCACCTTAAATCAAATAGCCTAATATAGTACGGTTGTATCTTGACATCTTAACTGCACCTTAAATCAAATAGCCTAGAAAGTACGGTTGTATCTTGATATCTTAACTACACCTTAAATCAAATAGCCTAGAAAGAACGGTTGTATCTTGATAGTGTCATCTCAACTACACCTTAAATCAAAAACATTTTATTTCAGATCTTTTCCTTATATTTTTCTGCTTAAAATATCTTCAATATGTTAAACGTACATGCAAAACATAAACTTTTTACAACAATATTATATATTTCATTCACTAGATATGCTTATTACATTTATTGTCACAAAAAATGTTCAATTAAGGTCTAACCGATGTATCCTAAATACTCTAGTACTGACTCATATATACTCATTAATTGTTGTGGTTTAAGTTAGAATTGATAAAACATCTAAAAAAATAATGAAGCCGTTTTAATAAGAAATACGTGAAACTGAAAAGCATGTGAGTAAATCTATGTACACAAATGTAAACAATTCATATAAAAAAGTCTATGTGTGAAAAGATATCAAAATTATATATATATGATTGTTGTAGAAGAGTTGTTGTTTGGCGTTTGTAATCCATTGTTAAACTTTATCATTTCGTGCAATATGTGCCATCTGCATATGTAACTTTAAACTTTATTTTGTCACAATTTTTTCCAGTGTTTACTGGAAATAATATATACTTTAACTATTTTAGTTAATATGTATATTTTATGACTACAAGTTATAATATATAAAAATAAGGAAATGTGGTACGATTGCCAATGAGACGACTATCCACCAAAATTCCAATGAAGTGAATGTAAGCAATGACGGTATACATTTTATCGCATTGGCTTTCCTAGATGCAATGATTCTAAACAATAGAATAATTTGATAAATGTTTTTCAGAGTAATGATGTTTGTTTCGCCAGCATTCCTCATAACAATTGCCATGGCGTCCTTCGAGGGGATTGTTGCTTACTCATACTACCACACACTAGGTTGTGACCCAATCAAATCGAAACAAATCACAAATCCGAATCAGGTATAGTTAGAACAATTATTAGTAATTGAAGAACTGTTTAGTCTTTACTATAACTTGTATGTTCTTAATGAATTTTTGAGCTTTTACCTAGTATACTTTAAAAACCATGTCAAAAGAAACACAATAGTTTAAGACGTTTTCCACATTCTAAATGTATAAAATTGCTAGGTAATGGAAAACACGGGTTATGTAATTCCATCGCAATAACAGGAAACAACAGGTGAAAATCTGACTTGTTATAGACATTACTTGGACAATGTTATAGACAACTATGTTATGGCGCAATAATTGAAAATTATCAATCATTAATTTTCCAAAGGAATATTAAAAATAGAAATAGTAAGACGATACCTTGGAAGAATGAAAAAAAGTCACATAAATCGTAGAAGACAAAACATAAACCAAAATCATAACATATGTTTTTCTTAAGGTCGTCTAATGTTGATGACAGATCTGTAATGGTCTCAATAACTTTAGTTACAACTTGTCTTGTCTCATGCAGAGTAAGAGCTTGCAACTTGGTTAAGACACACGTGCATATGTCTTTCTGTTTGCCTTTCAAGTGACTTTGTAGTTTAGTTTAGTTTAAACGTATTTTATTTGCTAAAGTAAAGCAAAATGGATTAGATACAAGTAAATCATACTTATGAAGTCTTCTCCATAATACAAAATAAATAAATACAATAATAGTATAATGAGCATGCATGTGAGGCAAACAGTTTATAGAATATAATAGGAGCTATAGGTAAAAAAATAAGAGAGAAAAAAAAAAAGATGGAAAGATTGAACAGTCATATAATTCTGTGATGATGACGTGGGTGTTGATGATGATGTCGATGATGATGATGATGATTTTCCGTGTCGGTATCAATTATGTTTTACGAAGGTACAAGAAATCTGTTTGACCTTTTGATGAAATTTTGATCATGTTTGAAAATTCGGATATTTTGTTTGTTCGAAAGTTCCAAGTTTTCGCAAATGAATAGTTTCGTATCTAAAACAAAGTTTTCGTAAAGCCAATTAAGATTTTGAGTAAAGTTCTTATACATGAAGTGTATTTTGGACAAACGAAGAAGTAATGATGAACATCCCCAATATCTGATCCACATTGTCAAAAAGGATCATTTATAATGTTAGCTCGACAAAGGTCATAGTTTAAGAATGAAGCGGAGTATCACAATTGCCTTAGAATAATATTCAGGTTCCTCGGGCCGTACAAATAAAACGTTTCAACTTTACTTAGGAGACAGACTATCGTTTTTCAATTCATTCTTAAATCTAGATAAAGAGTCGACGCTGCGAATTTTTAGATTAAGTTTATGCCACTCACGTATTGTGGAGGGAATAAACGATTCAGTAGTAATGGAAAGTCTACAAAATGAAACAATAATATCATGACCATTTCGCAACAGATAGTTGTACTTGAAAGTTGGTTGTACTTTGTACACATGGAGGTACAAGATTACTTGGATGGAGAGTTGTCTCATTGGCACTCATACAACATCTTCCTATATCTATATAGGTACTCTGTTGCATTTTATTGGTTCATGTTATAAAACTTCTGTAATTTTATTCTTTTTCTTTCAAAAAGAAATTTCCAGTATAAGATTTCAGTTCTAACGAAAATTTGTAGACCGGTTACAATTCTTGCTGCCTCTAATTGCAAATTTTCTAAATTATGTGAACAGCATATTCCACAGTAATCCCACTCTTCCATGGCATATTAAAAAAATGGGTTAAATAAAAACTATTACAGTTTTTCTAAATTGTTTCGAGATAGTCGGTATTTAAGTTTACACAAAACATTTAAGTGTTTCTTTACACTTGTAATTATACTTTCAATATGTTTGTTCCATTTTGCGTCACCACTGAAAATAACTCCCAGGTGTTTATGAGATGTACGTAAAGGGATATTTTTACCATTTAAGGAAAAGCTGAGGTCTGAAATCTCAATATTTGAGAAAATCATAATTTCGTTTTTTATCAGGGTTAAATGACATAAATCATTTAGTATAACAAACATCCAGCTCTTTCAGGTCGTGATCGATTACAGATCTAATCTGTTCTCCGTCGTTACCAGAATAACTGAAAGATGTGTCATCAGTAAATAGCCGACACAGTGATGTAAGCTTATCATCAATATCATCTATATATAAGACAAATAGAAGAGGGCCCAGAACTGATCCACGAAGAACACCAGCTGAAATATTACAAAAGAAAGAAGACGAATTATGCAATACTACTCTCTGTTTTCTATCATGTAGATAATCTTCAAACCAATGTAATAAGCTTCCGTCAATACCATAAGCTTTCAGTTTGCATATAAGGTCTCTGTGCCAAAGTTTGTCAAAAGCTTTAGACAAGTCACAGAATACAAAACAATTCATTTCTTTTCTTTCCAAAGAGTTTAATATGCAGTTTAATATATATTTCTAAAAGTCGATGGACAGTTGCATTTTAAGGAAGAAATCCTGATTGATATTCATAAATTAATTTATTAGCATGTAAATGATTGTATGAGTGCTTAATCACAACTATTTCCATTACTTTTCCAACACAACTAATTAAAGATATCGGTCTGTAATTTGAAGGCAAAGATGAATCTCCTTTTTTGAAAATAGGTATGAGATTTGCTATCTTCCAGCTGGTTGGATATAGACAGGTTTTTCCGATTATCTGCCTTAGTTTTTGACGCGACTGCTCATGTCGTCGTAGTAGCGGTCGCCATTTCAGTCGTGGAAAAATTTATAAACAAGCTACACATCTATTTCCCAGATCGCTTATAATTGCTTAACGTTAACACCAGAATGCGAAGGCGTACTTGACCTCGGCAAAATTGTTAATGAATTAAAAGATAAAGTAATTAGATCAGGAATGGACATTCAAATAATAAGTGTATTGCAGGTCAGGTGTCGATCGAACCCTAAAAATTAAACTGATACGGTACACCGGGGACATAATATATTGACTAAAGTATAATAATCCCAGGTTACATATCGATTATAATTACTTGGTAATCATAATTGATTATTATAGTTATTATAGTAAATAAAGGTACATTTGGCTTGGGTATCTGATGAGGATTTACGGCCTTTGCTTGTCGAATGTGATATCAGAAACACAAGGTGCAATTTTATCAAATCATAGAAACGTCTGTGCATGGTCAGACCTATCATCAGACAGTCTTAAAATTCGACATTCCTCAAGTCCGACTTCTCTATAATCAGACAGTCTTAAAATTTGACATTTCTCAAGTCCGACGTCCCTATAATTCGACAGCCCGTTTCGTCCCACACACGGTTACTTGTCTCTGAAGTAAATATACTGTACCTATAGACATGTAACGTTTTAATATATTTTTTCACAGAGACGGAGATTGTTTTAGCTTGTGGTTCGTACGCACGTATACTGCTCATAATTGAGTGACTTTTTCGTCTGATTTTTGTCTTCGCACACAAGAATTGCGCTATGCTATCGATGCGTCGGGCCATATGCAGATCTAACTTTGCCCATAAAAATTCGGCTCAGGTTAAGAAGTTTTGAACTTTTCCATGTAGTCATATAGTTATTAGGCGTTTACCCGACTCGTTAAGGATTCATTGAATATAATATTGAGCGAAACTGCTACCTTTTCTGGACACAACTTAAGCATTTGATGACTTATACCTATTATTTCTCTTTTATTTATTTGGATTTCTATTGGATGAATATATAACAACGAAAGTAAATATTGAAGAAGAAAAAAACACAATTAACGAGACAAAACCCAGACAAAAAGGGTGGTTGAGAACATACAAACATATTAAGCTTACTTGCAGTTACAATTACTTATGAAATAAAGATTATAGGATATGTGTCCCAACAGGAACAGATATTATGCATAGTTTATAACAAAGTTTCCAGTGCAACTTCTTTTAGGCGGAACACATACTATATACGTTGACACCACTTATGAAGATTTGAGTCAAATTTAGATTTGAACGAGCTCATGGTTCATTGATTAATGAAATCGTTTCTGCTTCGAAAATTTAATCCAATGGGGAATTAAATTTAACGCAGGTCGTCTGAAGATTGCATTCTACGTAAACTTCTATAAAGGAATTAATTCTGATTAGGGATTCGCACACCACTTTATATGGTGGTATGTCTATAAACGTCGACCTTTTTTTCTCGTTTAGGGGATCTACAAATCATTCAGTGAAAAAGTACAAAAATTTCATGTTATACATAACATATCTTGGATAAGGTAAATATTTATATCGTGGTTAAATTAAAAAAAAATCCAACTAATTACTATAGTAATACATTCGTCAAGATACTTTCTTATATACAAAATATTGTGGTTGATTAAGCCACCTATTTGTTTTTCAGATAGTACCGTATATGGTAATGGATATTTTCAATGGTCTACCAGGAATGCCGGGATTGTTTATGGCTTCGTTATTCAGTGCATCACTAAGGTATACAAACCAAAATAAAGTCGACATTCCGGAATGTACTCATTTGGTATAACATAGAAAAATAACCATGCCATTTTTCTTTTCGATAGGAAATTGTTAAAAAGTCGTGGCACTCAAGTTGTATTAGAAGATGTGAGGAAAATCATAATTTGTTTCAGGGCACTGTAATGGAATGAATATTCGTTAAGTAGTTTAAGATAACAATTTTTTTTTTGATAATTAAATGTTTAATTTACTAATGTTAATAGAAACAATCTACACAAACATATTTTTTTTCACTTCCATGCAGAAGTGAAACAAATTCTTTTTTTCAAAACATTTAGAATCGAACAACTATTCAATAAAACATGTCACAAACAAAAAAGATAAATAGTTGGTGACTTATCAAATTTTAGAAAGTACCAGAGGTGCGTGGATGGTTTCATTTTACAATTGGGAAGATAACCAGTGGGGCGTGAATGGTTTCATTTTACAGTTGGGGAATATTACCAGTGGGGCGTGAATGGTTGCATTTTACAGTTGGGGAAAATTACCAGTGGGGCGTGAATGGTTTAATTTTACAGTTGGGGAAGAGTAACAGTGCGGCGTGACTGGTTTCATGTTACAGTTGGGGTAGATTACCAGAACGGCGTGACTGGTTTCATTCTACAGTTGGGGAAGATAACCAGAGGGGCGTGAATGGTTTCATTTTACAGTTTGGGAAGATTACCAGTAGGGCGTGAAAAGACATTCTTCAAATTTTACGGAGTATGGTAACTCTTTACAAGTTTTCTTGGACATGAAAAAATAATCTACATTAAATTTAGGCTTTTAAATAAAGTCAACAGTAGTATACCGCTGTTCGAAACTCATAAATCGATAGAGATAAAAACAAATCCGGGTTACTAACTAAAACTGAGGGAAACGCATCAAATATAAGAGGAGAACAACGACACAACAAAAACACAACATTAAAAATGTAACACACAAACGAACTATAATATAACAATAGCCATTTTCCTGACTTGGTACAGGACATTTTAAGAAAAAAATGGTGGGTTGAACCTGGTTTTGTGGCATGCCAAACCTCCCGCTTTTATGGCAACGTCAAACACAACACCAAAACGACAACATCACATGACAGGACCACAATACAAATAAATGGGAGAACATATTGGACAAAGAAACACACGAATAATAGCTAACAAAAGGTACTAGGCTTAAAATTCAAAACGCCAGACGTGCGTCTCGTCCACACAAGACCATCCAGTGACGCTCAGATGAAAAAAGCTTGAAAGCCAAAACAAGTACAAAGCCGAAGAGCACCGAGGACCAAAACTTCCAAAAAGTTGCGCCTAACACGGCCAGGGTTTTCTGCCTGGGACAAGAACATCCTTATTATTTAGAATAATTTATAATTTTGCAAACAGTAAATTTTATAAAATGACTATATAATAGATATACATGATAAAACCGAAGTGGGGACTAACTACAGAATAAAAGCGGATACATTACATAAAACAACTTAATCCAACATATAAAAATACACAACCGAGTTAGCCAAAGCAGCAACGCACAAAGTGACGTCACATTTCAAATTCTAAAAAAACACACAAAGTGACGTCACATTTGAATTTGTAAAAATATTTCCCAAAAATAAGATAGGATTAGGATTGATTTAAGATTAGATTTGTAATACTGACATTACATTTATTAATAACAATGAAAATTACAATACTTATTAATATCAAATTGTGGTAGTTATTAGATAATTAATTGTATTATCTAGCTATGTCGGTGTTTCTTCTGAATCAAACTGTAAACCAAATACATCGTATAAATTTCTTTGAACCAAACTAAAATCAACGTGTTGACAAAACATATTGTGTCATTGCAACCGGTATTGCCACTAACAAAGTGTCAATAATGATTGAATTGATATTCTTTAATTTTTCTTGCACATTTCAGTATCTGTTCATGTATTAATCATAGAATAATTAGTCCAAGAATTCAAATATCGAAAAATATTCAACATGTGACCAAAATACATGAAGCCCATGAGAGAAATATCACAGTTACTTTTTTTTACGGTTGAATTCTGGGATTATTCTTGTTATTACATTGGCCTTTAATATAAATAAACGGGAAATGGAAGGATGTTTTAATAATTAAGGTATACATCTGGAATACCATATAATGCGATGGAACATCATTGGCAACGTGTTGACAAAACATATTGTGTGAAATTTGCCCGATTTGTAGTAAAACGCTTGTCTGAAACTGAAAGGAATATAGTTCTGATTGTTCGCGCACTAGCTTATCTCAACCTTCAAATATAAACGTTTTTGTGTGTATTCTGCATGCTGTTTTAAAATTGTAATTCTCTCACCATCAAAACATATTGTAATCTTTGACTTCACAAATATTCAAACAAGGTAAAGAAGTATTCAGAATTGTTTTACCGTTGCAAATTACACTTTTTTAATTCCTTATGTATTCCGTGTAATCAATAACTATATTGAAGATTATCAAATCCTCCCCCCTCCCGATTCGTTTCTAATTTCATTAGTGTTCCCATTGTATATACCCAATTTAAAAAAAAAAAAAAAAAAAACTGGTGGGAAATATTTCATCAATAGTCCTTGATAACAATAAATGATGAACTGTTATGCCCCATGATTAGTATGTCTGTCATGTATAATTTTCTAAAACCTACAACATTGAAAGCAATTTTTAATGCATAATCTTTTAACAGTACGTTGTCATCTGGGCTCAGCAGTTTATCAGCTCTGTTTTGGCAGGATTTAGTTAAGCCTCATACAAAGCCCATGTCAGAATTGAAAGGGACAATTATTTCTAAAGTTGCAGGTATGTAAGATTTGTTTTTACATTAAAAAACTTTTTTTCATAATTCTTTACTGTTCATAAACCTATAAAACCATTAATCAAGGAGTCACTGATGGTTGTTATGTAGATCTAGAGTCCTAAACTATAATCCTTGATTTTTATGATAAGACTAATTAATATAAATGAAATACAAAAAAAAAAAAAAAAAAAAAAAAAACATTCCCCGCAAATTATGTTTATTATTCATAAAGAAAGTTGAAATCAAACATCGAAGAATTTCATTTCAAAAAAATTAAAACAACACGTCATAAATTTCATGCTTCCGAAGTGCTTTTCTAGATTTCCCTTCATCAGAAACACTTAAAGCCAAAGATGTGTAAAAACTGAAACCGTTTGAGAGCTATATGACCAAAAAGGACTTAAAATATAGCCAAATCCATCTAAGGTCAGCTTTGCTTCTTTCAAGAGGTTTGCAGATTTATCGTTAAAACTTACTTCCTGAAAATGCGAAGCCAAAAGTTATTTATAAGAAGAATGAAAATGATATTTTCTTAAACCTTACTATGAAATCCGTTTATCACATTTAGGGACTAACTTGTTACATTGAACATTCAACATTTCACTAACATTTTAGGCATAATGTTTTCATTTATATATTAGTCATAGTGTTTGGAATTATTGCTGTATGCGTAGCCCTTTTGGTGTCTGTTATTGGTGGAACATTAACACAGGTACACGAAGAAACATATTAAATTTTTTTGATGTTAAGTGTACTTCTTAGGTAAATAATGTGTGGTTGACAAATACATGTGGCTTTTTCAAGACAACAGGAAATAAAATTATCATTGGCTAATTGAGCCAAGATGAACTAATGTGTTTAAAATAGTTGCATTTGATCGACATTACTAGTCTAAAATTTTATGTTATGATATGTCCAAATCTTGTCTGAAGATACAAAAATTATATATTAAAAATACACAGTTTCTTTTATTCCGTTAGCTCAATAATACATGTAAAAGAACTGTTTAAACATAACAATACTTTTTTGAAAGTCAGCAAAATTAATAAATACCGTGCAAACCAAATCACACGAAAACGAAATTAAGTGAATCTTTAAGGATGATATCTAACATTGGTAACACACTCTGGAAATCTTCAGAACAATGCAAACAGTTACACTATATTTAGTGAAAACTTTATCACTCCTGATAAAATTGTCCTCTCGGGTTGCAGACGATAAAACTTGGAAGATTAGAAGAAGACAAAACACGCGAAAATGACTTTTTATAACTAATAATGAAACAAAAAACCAAGGTATACAGATATATGTCATAGTCATTAAATATGTACGTTCGAGTTTATGCAATATATTTTAGTAATATGACCGGTCTGTAAGTATGCATAAGCGGAATTCTTTATCGTCGACAACAATTTCCGGTAATTAATACCAAGTTTTTCAAGGTTACAAGGGACAATGTATTGTTTCTATATATTAAGACTATCAATAATAACAAATCACTACACAAAAACTACAGATGAAGATAACAAACCCCGTCAAAATCTGGTGTAAACTCTAGGGTAAGCAGTTCCTGCTCCATTATTAACAATCGTCGTGTTCCTAATTGCAAGTAAAAGTCACATTATTTCACGTCACAGTTGAGAAACTGAGGATGGCATTACGGTAACAACATCTTCAACTTAACTGTTTTAAATCCTTTTACAATAGCTTTCTTGTCAGCAGTAACCGTTCCGGCTTCTATTTTTAACCCATTAAGTATCAACAACATCACCTCTTAAACAAAACTGAACGTGTACGAACGTCCTTGTTTTATGTTTGGACCATTGCCTTGCATAATTCTTGACTGAATTCGTTAGTATATAAAGTCATGTTTCCAGTTAATAGGTTTCAGCTTACAGTATTTCGGCCCTATAACGAATACGTTTCGTATTCAAAATCTTTTGACAATGCTGAGGTCATCATTTATAAGGTAGCTAGCTGGATTGTGCTAAGAAAACTTAAACAAACTGCAATTAAATGGTTTAAACTTGAAGTCCTTAATATTGCAATTTTCAATGTGCAGATACAATTCAGAGTTAAAATACGTGTATTTCCGCATATACCTTGAGTATCAAAGCATCTTATTCCGATGGAGAGAAAAAAAAAATTACATAAATACAACGTCGATCTACAAAACCAAAAAGAACCAAAAAGCCAAAAAAAAACAACGTCAAGGTCAACTTCGTAGGGATGGTGTATGCAATGTTAAAAATAAATCACTGATTCATGAAAACGGTAGGTAAACAATATGGTCAACGAGAAGACATCAAATCAAATCAAATCAAAAGCTTTATTTATGTGATTAGAAGTTATCCGTTAGGGTTATTGTAATAGAGCTTCTTTAACTTGACTGTGTCATCACATGTAAATATCATTTAAAGTCAAGTGGCATTTTTACACGAATGGGTTCAATCAAGATCTTCACGATATCCAGGAAAGCAGTTCAGAGATCTTTAAGTCTAAAACATTTGATTATCGTTACATTCATTGTATTAAAATGTCCCTGCTTAAAGTCACATTCAAATTTTATTTGTATAATTAAAAATATTAGTTGTAATTCCCCTTTGGAAGTTAAGTGGTAGTTCTTATCGTTTTAGATAACTGGAACCATTCTATCAGCAATTGGTGGTCCGCTCACTGGTTTATTTCTGTTGGGATGTTTCTGTCCTTGGGCAAACGCTAAGGTAAGTATACACATGTTTCTCGAATGCATTAATCGGATTTGAATACTTTTAATATTGTTCAATTCATTACGACTTTTAAGCATACACCCTTAGTATAACTCTAGCCTCTCTATAAAAATCAATTGGTAGACGACAAATATATACGCAGTTATTCATAAGTATCTTGACTAAATAACCTTAATCCAGATTAAACTTCAAACCAAATCAAATAGTTCTGTTACCTGTATTGTTAATGATTATATTGTCTTGCACAACACATTCTAGTACGTTAAACTTTTAATTCAATTTATGGGTATGAGAGAAAAGAAAATGATGATATTTCAAGATAGTTTTATAAAAATTATTTCCTGTTTATAATTGGTGTATGCAAAAGCCTTAGATTTTACATTTTGTTATCTTTTTGATAATTCTAGATATAATGATGTCATAAAATAACTTTGCACCTCCTTATTATTGTGCAAATTGATAAAAAAATGTAAACCTGCTTTCGCATTGAATGTGATACTATAAATTTGATCATTGATCTTGCCTGAAAAAACTAATTATAATGTCCCTTGTACCAAATTAAAGATCAATGATAACACTTAGATTTTCAACTGTGATGGAATTTTAAATGGAAAATATATAAGCACACTGTGACAGCAATCTTGAATCATATTTCTATTTAAGCATCCGACTTCTCTTTTTTTTCAATATTTTTTGAGTGATCAAATTCCATGAAGACAAATTTGATGATTTATGATATTCGTTTTACCAATTTATCACAGGGGGCATTTATCGGAACAATTTCGGGAATTATATTGATTACGTGGATAACAACAGGCCAATACATATCACCAAACGTTCGAAAAGCTGTACCATTACCGTCAGCTCCTATTGACAAGTGTTATGTACCCTTTACAAATATAACATCACTGTACAATGCTTCAACACAGATGTCGACTTCAGCATATGAGTACCACTCCACTGTTTTTACCACAGAATCTCCGATAGTTGACAAAATACCGTTAGTATATATTTTTTCATTGTATAACACTTATGGTTGATACTTATACTCGATATATATTTGCAATATCATCACTTCTGTCACATTGTTTTCTCTACTCCATTTTATTAACGTAATCAATATAATATTAATTAATTTTCTATGCACAGTTCAGTCTATATAATATTCTTATAAAGCTGTATAAGTATGGAATATCTTAAATTAATAAGCTGCAAATAATAGTTTTGATTGATTCACCGGATATTATACTTTCTAAATTGATATATTTGCTGTAATACAAGAAGCCTTAGTAAAAGTATTTTCTTACGGTACGGTAATGGCATAGCTTATTTTCATTTCATTACCTTTCCGTGATGGAGTGTAATTTGATTTTCTTTTTGTAGAGATTAACTGCTTTGTTTGTCTTGTTTCAGGAGTGGTATAGATTATTTTTATTCCATTGCCTATCCATGGTTCGGTGTGATTGGTATATTTACTGTGCTGATTGTTGGCAGCATTTTTAGTTTTCTGACAGGTAAAACTCTGTTCCTATTGCAACATACAGTATTACTAAAACCATTGCACCTAAAGTATTTAACTATAAGCATTCATTGCAGGACCTTGATTTAGAAAAAAATACATAAAAAAAAACTCTCCGACATGTGACTGTTCCCACTCGCCGTATATTTACAGCCACTCTGGCAATATTATCACTGGGGATCTAAACATAATTCAACATGAATATCTCCGAAAGGTGATATCTCATGGTCCTAAGTTCAGAGAACCCTTACACATCAATTGGAACCATAACTTCAAAATAATTATGGATTCCATTGAGGACTACGCCAGAGCATGGGCTAAACGAGAAAAAGTTGAACTGGACACATTGTCAGAATGGGTCAAAACAATCAGGTCTCTGATAAAACGTCGAATTCATAAGTTGAAAAACGGTGTGAATGATCGACTAAAGTCCGTTTTCAGAGACAAAGAAGCTGTGAAATGTCTATCATCTCTTCACGATTAATACGTTATTGTTCCTGCGGACAAAGCTTCAAATAAATTTGTTTTTGTATGTAAATCATACTACTATGAGTGTCTGGTAAATGAATTAGGAATAAATGAGCACTCAGGTAATCCCACATACAAAAACATTTCATTTGACAACGATGAGATTTTAGCGAATCATAAGTCCTTCATGGCGTCAATGAACATTACTATGAACAGCAAGTCTGAGGACTTACCTTGTTTGTGTTGAATACCTAAGCTTAGAAAAATTCCGTACAAACAACGGTACATTGCCGGCTCATCTGCATGTTCTACAAAGGAATTGTCCACTAGATTGACAAAAATTCTGGCCGCAGTGAAAGAGGGTCTCCAGAAATACTGTGAAACTGTTTTACTCGCGTAGTGGTATTAACCATATGTTGATTCTAAAACACTCTAAAGAACTTCTTAATAATTTCAAATCTCGATCTTTCTCTGAAATTAATTCCATCAAAAACTTTTGATTTTCCATCCTGTATACCACCATTCCCATGTGAAACTGAAAAATCTTCTAAAAGAAATAATTCACTATACTTTTCAATATAAAAATGGCAGCATGCACTATAAATTCATTGCTTTGGGATACCATACGGCATATTTTGTTAATAGTGAATAAAAAGATAAAACATGCTACACAGAGTTTCTCACTGACAACATTTTTGTTGAATTTGGAGGTAGACTTTTTCAGCAAGTTGTCGGCATTCCTATGGGGACGAACTGTGCGCCTCTCCTTTCCGATCTCTTCTTATTTTCATATGAGTCGGAGTTCCTTCAGACACTTGTAAAAAACAAGAAAATCAAAGAAGCCCAATCATTAAATTTCACATTCAAATATATTGATGATGTTCTTTTCATTAACAAACTTGTCTGATTGGTTTCCATCAGTATATCCTCCAGAACTAGAAATTAAAGAAACAACAGACACGGCATCTCAATACCAGAATCTATGACAAGCGTGACGATTTTAATTTTGAAATTATAAATTTTCCCTACCTTAGCAGCAGTATACCAACTTCACCTGCATATGGGATATACATTTCCTAACTCATTCGGTATTCAAGAGCTTGCAGCTGCTACTCAGACTTTATAAAACGTCACCAGTGTCTGAGCAGAAGGTTGATGAGCCAAGGTTATGTCAAAGAACGTCTCGTCCTGTTTCTAAAAAAGTTCATGAGAAGATATATAGACCTTGTTGATAAATATTCCGTATCAGCTTCACAAAAAATAATACATGATGTTCTTGAAGTAAAGACTCTAGGTACTGACGTTCTTTCTTTATCATCTTAATTACGTGCTAAAGTTCCTTTTTTTTGCCCTTGTATATTTTTAACCTTTACTGTGTATCCATTTTTGATTATATACTTATGACGTGGATCGGTATTTATACATCCCGCCTTGTGCTATGGTCAATTTTGAGTTCTTGTCTTTCATTTTTGCTTTTGTACTTTGTCTATATGCCATTTTGTGTTTCTTTGTTGAAACAGTTATTTGTTTTTATAGTGATTAAGATTGCATTGCAATGTTTACTGCTGTACCCCAGTTTTTAACGTTTTTACCTATTATGTCTGTTTGTTTTTGCTCACACATTGTAGTCAATATCATGGAATACTATGCGACTGTCATACAAGTTAGATGTTTAGCTAGCTATAAAACCAGGTTTTAACAACCATTTTCTATATAAGGAAATGCCTGTACCAAGTCAGGAATATGACAGTTGTTTTCCATTCGCTGGATGTGTTTGAGCCTTTGATTTTGCCATTTTATACAGGACTTTCCGTTTTGAATTTCCCTTGGAGTTCGCTATTTTTGTTATTTTACTTTTGATAAATTACAACAAAATTTAAGGTGTATTTACAAGAGGCAAACATCAATGGCGTTATAAAAATAAGTTGATGTGGTATGCTTGCAAATGAGACAACTCTCCACGTAAGACCAAATAATATAAAGGTTACCGTATAAAGGTCACCTTACGGCATTCAACATGGAACAAAACCCATACCGCATAGAAAGCTATAAAAGGTCCCGAATTGACATATAAAAATTTCAAACGATAAAACTAACGGCCTGCTTTGTTTAAATTATATATTATTTTTTAAAAGTGCACAAATTACATTTATACAAAAGAAACACAGGTATTTAGAAACAAGAAGAACTTGTATAAATCCGTCTCCATTAACAAAATGATAGCATTGGGAACATAATGTAAAGAAACCCACTATAATATAGTTTCAATTTACATAACATGTTTATTCTGTGGTTTGCCCGTTAAATGAAGTCAGTTTGATTGAAATATGCGATCAATTCATTTTTAATTCAATTTTGATTTCTGTACATAGCAATAAACGAAAAACAACTATGATATACAGCAACAAACAAGTATAACAAAAATATCGAACTCCAAGGGGAGGTAAACGAACGACAACAACTGAATTTCAAGCTCCTGACTTGAGCCAACATAGAAACAAATTATAAAAATCAGTTGAATGTGTTTAACACATCGAGATCAAGAACAAACAATGCAAAACAATAAACGAAAAACAAATATAATGAATAGCAACAACTGAAAATAATTCAATCCCAGGCTTCTTACTTGGGACAGGAACATATAGAGTGTGCCGGGGTAAAACATCTTTGCGGGCGTCCAACACTTCCCCCCCCCTCCCCCCAACATGGGACAGTGGTGTAACAGATTAACATACGAACAAACTGTATTCATTTTAATAGCATTGTAATTAAGATTGACATCTGCAATCAATAGATAGGCGGGGCTTCAGCTTGTATACATTATACTTAAATGTTATTGGATGTTAAGTATAATGCAGAGTATGCTGTATACAAGCTGAAGCCCCGCCTATCTATTAATTGCAGATGTCAATCTTAATTTCAATGTTTGAGCAAACATTTATACAAACAAAGCGAGCAAGTCAAACAAACCTTTAAACTACAAGCATTAGCAAAACAGCTCTAAAAATTAATCTTTTTAAAAGGGATTGAGCTAAAGATAAAACATTTCAAGATTTCTAAACAGAGGCCGTTTTACAATTTTGAAATTGTTCTCTGTGAGTTATATTAATCTTTATTTTTATAATTTAAGGTTATACAAAACCAGAAGAGTCTAATCCAATGTATTTAATATCGATCGTAGATGAACTTTTTTTCTTCTTACCAGAGTCTGTAAAGAATGTTATGAAATTAGGTTATAATTATAAAAAACCAGAGGTAAGAAACTTAAAATTTTGCTTTCATATATTATTACGTTTTTTCGGCAGCTTGCAGTCATGTAATGAAGGTTTCACAGTAATAAAAAAACCTGTATTACCGATTACCATGGCTATGTTCTAATTTTCTTAGGCACAATTTAGTCCTTCTTTTCTCAGTAATAAACGAATACAACTTATCATTGGACAATAACATCCCACAACCAAAGCAACAGATGTCACTAGTAGAACAGGAACTACTTACCTTCCAGATGATCCAGTTCTATCTAAAGTGGTTTTGTTGCTTTTGCTTAACATCATAGTGTTAAATTTGGAGCTTTTTTACTACTATATTGTGTTCAGTTTACCGTTAATGAGAGCCTTAGTTCGTGTCTTTACGGGTTTTAAAGGGTGCATGGTGCTAACCTTTCTTTTTCTCGTAAAGATTTTGTTTTATTGTTGTTCTTTTCGTTGCTTATCTTTATTGGTACTGAACCAGACAGACGTGTAGTAGTTCTGATAAATGGAATAAAATAAATTTTCAGATATGCAATGTTTTTGCATTGCTGGTAAGTCCAATGAAGATGAGACGAACGTCTTGCTTAACAAATCATAAGCCTGTTATCTTTGAGGACTTTTTCTAAGCAAATATATGAACAACTATAGCTGCCGTCTACAACTGCTGATCCAAAAATCTTGAGTGAAATCCTATCATAACTGTTGTTGAAAATTAATAGTGAAAATTAGTAAAGCTATATACATTTTAGGCGTGGTTTTCCTGAAAATGTCCAGTCACTTATAACAAATCTACCAACCTATTTTTCCTGGTATAAAAAAGCAGAACTCAGTTTTTAGTATCTGTCTTGACAAATGTGTAATAACATTTAAACAAACGAGTTGTATGATTTTGTAGATTATATTGGACAGACAAGCTATGGCAATAAACTTTTTCATAAGAAACCACCGAAAAAAAGGAGACTTTCAATATCATGAATATATATTATTCTAAAGTGAAAATCATTTCATTTAGACAACAAAGACAAATATTATACTAAAAGAGTAAGGAAACATAATTCATTCGAATATAACGCAAGAAATTTAAGCAAGTACCGAAGTACAAGCAGACCTGACCGCAAATTATATTGAATAGACCTGTTATCTTAACTGGATAAGAGCACACATGTCCTAAAATGTAGACTATATATATTCTATTGATCATTAACTTATATAATTGAACTGCTCGACTGCTCAAAATATATCAAGTTAACGTTGCTTGTTAAAATCTATCCCTATAGATATTTTTTTTGCAGAATATGGGTGCATTATTAGTCTTTTTGAAGAAATTACGTATACTGTACGTTTATTTTATTGTACATGTTAAATCAAACAGTGCTGTTTCTGATGTTCATGAGAAATAAAGTTTTTACATTTTTTGCAATGAAACTCCGTATTTCCAAGTTATATAAAAACCGATAATTTCAAAAGTGAAATTAATCCGATAATTTCACTTCTCTGACTCCTCTGACGTCATACTACAAAGGGTGTTGTCAAGACAGTGTCGATTACGTTATTTCTGAACGAATTGGGAATGCACAGAAAAAAATATAGTCCCTTGTATTTTATACTTTATTTCCAATCAAAAGGCAATGGTTAATGTTAGAGCTCTGAATCAATTTGATAAAAAGAATAACTAATCACAGAATTTAAATATGCAAAAATGTTCAATTTGTGACCGAACAACACTGATAATTAACTCATGAGCAACGCCATTCATAAATTAATGTGAATCAATGTGTTGTTTGGTCACTTGTTGAATTCTATAATTGTTAATTCTAATGTTTGGAATTCTAATTTTTTTCATAGAATAGATAGCACACTTTTATTAAAAAAACGCGAGATCACTTCAATAAAAAACACACAAACAACGCTGCAAATCTCAAGAAAAAAGCAGTATTAAATATGGCATCTCAAATCAAGTGTTTTTTTTTCCAGATGTATGGCACGAAAGAAACGATATATGATAAGACTGTTTACGTTGATAATGAATTAGACAAACAACTAAGCAAGAATGACGAAGAGACAAATAATCAAATGAACAATGAAAACAGCGCTTTACTGAATGTTCTAGAGGAAAACGAACATCATACCAAATTACAAAAAAAGAGCGTCAATAAAGTAGACTGTGATTCCAAAAACGGAAGATTGCCACTGTTATCTGAGGATTCTACTCATCAAGGTCAAATAGTAGTTAATGAAAGCAAAACATAAAGGAATACGATAATTGCCACGACTTCTGTCATGTTTAACACTAATTCACAAGTGGCGATAATAATTAAGCTTCCGCTTTACAAATATGACTAATTTTAATATGGTTTATTATTTTTTTAGTAGAGTATAGATAAAGATATATCAGAATATTTATTTTATTATTGATGTAATAAGTTATATGCCTAATTGTTAAATGATATGAGCAAATCAGTCCTTATACGGAGGAATCAGCATGTGCAATCATGATGACGTCGATGACTGTTGATAATATAAATTATGAATTAATATTGCTTTTCGGCCCGGTCACTTCTGGTTTCAGGTTTTGGTTTTACTTCATACCTAACGTTGGACGTATTATTATGCATAAGATACATTTTATCATATTTTGTAACTTAAAATAACTTTTGAAAAAGTTAAAATGGTGTTCCTTGTTTTGTAACGATTTGAAACGGAAATTTTCAACAGCCTTTCCGAGTAAAACTTACTATTATTATCACTGGTAATGTTGTAAGGCAACGGAGTTCTAGCTCTGGATATCAAGTTCACTGGTGGCATATGTGATTTCCTTGCAAGTGCAAGTACAATTAATTCATAAAAGCCAAACTAAGAGGGTCACTGTTTCAGTATATATCTTCTATATTGAAAAAAAAAAAACATTCTACAGGCTTGTCATGCTTGAACTGGGTCCCCGTTTTAGAAAAAAATCTGGTAGTTGCAATCAGAACACCTATAATCAACAGTTAATGAATCGGACGAAAATCCATTCATATTGTAAAAGAGAGGCGAAAGTTACCAGAGGGACATTCAAATTCACAAGTCGAAAATAAACTGACAACGCCATGGCTAGAAAAGAAAATGACCAACAGACAAACAATAGTACACTAAAATAAACATAGAAAACTAATGACTGAGCAACACGAACTCCACCAAAAACTGAGGCCGATCTCAGGTGCTCTGGAAGGGTAAGCAAATCCTGCTCCACATGTGGCACCTGTTGTGTTGCTCATGGTAGTACAAACACGGTAATAAGTCTAATTCGGTAGGTCACATCCGAAAAAAAGGTGGACGGAATTGTTGTAACGATATTAGGAACATATTCGTTATCATCTGTGCAACGGATATCCCATAGCGGTCAACCAACTGGTGATGGCGTTCGTAAAACTTACGAAGGGATGATTTCATCTTCACCACTTGGAACTCTTATTTTAATAGCTTCCTTGTAAACAGCAACCCTCTTTCGAGGAAATCATAATAGGAAATTCATACCCTGGAATATCGTATCAACTGGGAGATATATACTCCGTATGCAGGCGCTGCTGGAATGTTGTTACATAGAAATGGAAAGTTTACAATTGGGAAGCTGAATTCATCTTTTTTATCGTAAAGTTTTGTTTTCAACGGACCCTCATTGACAAGTTTTAAATGTAAGTCAAGATATGAGGCAATCTTAACTGTATCTGTTGTATCCTTTATCTCAAATTCGTTGGTATAGATGCGTTCAAGACAGTATACACAAATATATTTATTCTACTACGTCAGATAACCTTGAAACTGGTGTCATCAGTGAATTAAAATCAGCAAAGTAATAGATAACTAATGATACTTTCAGTGATGTTCATTATGAACTGTGAATGAGTTTGAATATTTAAAATTTATAATTCATTATGTTAATTTATTCTGCGTTATTATGCAATGTAGACTTACATACATGTACTGGACTCGCATGCATATACAAGACTCTAAACCTGTGATATCCTATGAACAAATCTAGTTGAAGGTATGTGTTTGGTTTTTATTTTAATTTGATTGCATTCAACAAAAATAATTCACTTTAAATAAAACGTCAGAAATTATTTTCTCAAACAATAAAGGATTCATATCTTCTTAAAATGGAAACATGGTGTTATGAATATAGACAAGATGCAAACGATACCAAAGGAACATTAAAACTCATAAGTCGAAAATAAACTGAGAACACCATGGCTTAAAAAGAAAAAAGACTAACAGACAAATAACAGTACACAAAACAAAACATAGAAAACTAAGGACTGAGCAACACGATCCCACCAAAAACTTGGGGTGATCTCAGGTGCTCCGGAAGGGTATAGCTGCGTAAATACTTACACACTTTAGATTTTATCCATGCAATAAAATGAAAACCAAATACAGTCGTATTTATATAATATCATCACGTTTTAATGCATTATTTATGGACTTATCCTGACATTTCATCGAAGCACAATTTGATAAGTTGAAACTTAATTTTGTCAGCAAATTTGGTCCTTGATTATTTGATCGTCTCCATAATTTAGAAAACCTGCAGCTCTCGTTATATTATCGTTTTATTAGTACTCAAAGCAACTAGAAGATAATATCGCGAAAGTGCCTAGACATGATAACAAATATGTTGATTTCTATAATTCTCTTCATGTCGTTCAAGAAGATTATTCATTATCAGATTTATATATAGAAAAATCAAACTTGACATGGTTCCGTTTTAAAAGTGCATGAACAGTTTTGATTGATAAAAAAGACGTAAAACCGATTTGACATGTGTGTTTAACAAGTAAAAAGTTGTTTGTCTTTTCGTCGTTCTATTTTTGCCGTTGAGTTGTTTGTTTTTCTTCAACCTTTGGATTTTGATTGCCCCCTTGGTACCGTCTGTTTTCGAACTACATTTTTTTTTACCTCCTTGTATCGTCTGTCTTCAAACTACGTTTTTTGCTCCTACCCCCTTTTGGTATCTTTTGTCTTCGAACTACGTTTTTTATTGCCCCCTTGGTATCGTATGTCTCTTTTGGTCTTATTATTTTCTTTTTTTAATATTGTTTGTGAGTTTTCATTATAGATATATTACATTTCCCTTTTCAACCCTTTTTTTGTCATTCCAAGATATGGTGATGAATGACTCTAAATAGATGGTTTTCAACTTTACTTTCCCAACATTTTAGAAGATTATCACAAAATGTATGTGTTCACTTAGATTTATTTAACCATTTTGTTGTTGTTTCTGATTTTCCTTCATGTTATTGGCATTGCAATATATACAAGTGTAATATTGTAACTGATTTTTATACTAGCGTTCGTGTATTTTTTGTAAATCTTCGAAGTTTCCAATGCTTGCAAATTAAGCATTCTTGTTGATCAATGTTGAATAATATACTTACAGTGTTTTAATTTTGCAAACATGTTTAGAGGTGTATTAATGCGTCGAAAATTTTAATATTTGACGGAAAAAGCTGCATTTAAATAGAACTGACTGTGTTTTTTTTACTTATATAAATGGTGAGCTAATTCTAACTGGTAAACAATAACAAATTTTGAGTGTAAACAATGAAAAAAGTTGATGCCTTTTAGATATCCAATGCTCCGAAAAGGAAAGGGAATATCCGGAATAAGATATTTTTTCTGCATTTGGTTTTGTAAAAATGTTTCGTACCATATGAGTATTTGAACCATACGCGTATGGTTATGACTATATGCGTATACTCGTATGATTATTAACGGGCAGGACCATATGAGTATTTAGACCATATCTGTTTTTTTCGAACAATTCTAACTTCCTTATCAGAAACACACAGCTCATTCTCTGATAAAAAAACGGCACAAGTTACTATCTGAATTCCTTTATCTTTTACATATTGTCTTAATTTTGATGTATCTGTTATTTTGCATTTGCTAGAGTCAATTTATTTCGCCTTTTTGTTGTTTTCTTGGTGTTTAAATAACTATTCCAGCAACAAAATTTCTTTTTATTTCTGCTTAATTTCATTTATTTGAAGTTTCTTGCTCCTATTCATACAATCTTATGATCATTGTAAGATCGCACGAATAGGAGCAACAGCACATGAACAAATGATATCAAATCAATGAGAAAGATCTAAGAATTTATAATCTTATAAAAAAACCAATTTAAAGTCGGACCATATTAGTATATACAAAGATGACCATGAACATACACGTATGGCCCAAGTACTCATATTGTCCGGACCATAAACACTCATTCAGAGCTTAACCTTTGAAAATTCTGTTCCGAAAGCACACATATTGTAAAGAATTTTCCATTTTTTAAGAATTCAAGAGGAAATATTTATCATCAATGTTGTATACTACGTCTAAATCCATCACCAAATTAACACGAAGATGTACCATTATAATGAATTGATTGATTTATTGATTGGTGTTTAACACCACTGTCAGTAATATTGTGCTATTTCGTGGCCGTCTGTTTTTACTGGCGAAAGGAAGCCATAGCTATTATATTGAAACAATCGGGTCGGATGAAAGGGGTAATCATATTGAAGAAACTTAATATCTTGATTACGGTATTTGTTTTATTTTTGATTTTTACAGAAGTCGTTATCAATGAGATAGCAATCTTACATTAGATAGTTGAGTAAATAGAAACAATCGTCAAACATCATTCGTATGATTTAGAATACGTATATTTAATTAATTCAGTAATCCGTTATATCGAAATTTAAGTAGTCGCATAACATTTACTAAGCACACTTAACAGAATACATTAAATACATTAACATTGATTAATAAACTGAAAGTTCATATATCAGGATAGTATTTGGGATAAAGTGTTCTTGCCTGATTTTGATGATCCGAAAAGATTCAGCAACTATTAAATTTAAAGTAGTTTTGTGTAATTGTATCTGTCATGCGGTGAGCTATATGAAACAACATCAAAGTTCAACATTTCATGACTAAATTGCTGTTGTTCATAACACCACAAACAAGTAAAACTCTGAAATGGCCTATATCTGTACTCGACTGTGCTGATGTTTACTCGACCAGTCTGAATTGGTCTGAAATTTACTTAATATTACTCGACTGTAGTCTGAACCATACTTAACAGTCTGAACTTGTACTGGACCTTTACTCGAATAGTACTTAATCATTTTATACGTGTCTGAACCATACTCGACATAGTCTTAACCATTCTCGACCAAGTCTGAACCATGCCCGACCTAGTCTGAACCATACTCGACCTAGTCTGAACCATACTCGAAATTAAAGACATGGCATACAAGAAGCACTTTAATGTTAAAGTTTAATTACCTCAGTACAAGTGTGTTTTACAGGTAAAAAGAAAACATTTTTTTTTAAACTGGTGTATCAATTATCTAGTGAATTCAAAAGGCCTTGTGATTTAAGTTTTACAGGATGTTGTTTAATTTGTAATGGATGTTATTTAAAATTTATTACTCTCTGACCAGATGTGATCTTTTTAATGAGTGTGCCCCAAGCAGGAGGTATTCCTTAATAGTTTACCCTTAATCAGAAGAACAATTTTAGTCATTTCTTTAATTTTTCATCCCTTTTTGATATATATATATATAAATAAACAA